ATTTTATTGTTACATATTTTGTTCTTAAATTATTGTGGCAAACAAATTCCATACCTTTTTAATTTTATTTTTGTTTATTTTTTTCTTCATATATTCCATGTGTAAAGTATTCCCTAATTTTTTATATAATCGCAAATGTCGAAAAAAAAAGTTTTAGGAGAAAAATAAAAAATAATAATTTCCGTGGTTCGCACCACCATTCATTATCAGTTTTTTTTTTGTTTTTTTTGTTGATCGTTGGTGGAGAGAGAAAAAAGATTGTTTAGTTTTCGGCCCTCTCTCCCAAAATGATCTATTTTGTGTCTTAATATGGAAACATAAAACGGCTTTTAGATCGCCGCAAAAATTTTTTGACTATTTTTCCCTTTCCCATTAAAAAACTCCATAATATCAACGAGTAATTTATCTTTTCGTCGAAAACTATTTCGTGATGAATGATAGATAAAGTAATATTTTGTTGGTTTTTAAAGAAAAACGATATAGAAATGAATTGTAAAATACATTAAAAGTCTCGAGTTGGGACTTTTAAAAATTTGGAATTTAATAGCTTTTTGTATTAATTAAGTTTAACAAGAATTTTAGGAGGGTATAAGGAACAAAAAAACTTTCACTTGTAAGTCACAATGATGTCTGACTGTATACATACATACCTATCTTATTTTTTTTATTTTGAATTCAAAAATTAAGCTCTTAATAACAAAAGTTTTTGCAAAAATTTATTTTCCCTACTATATATCTCCTGATTAGGGTTGAGGTTTTCGAGTCGGGCCGACGTTCGAGTCATTTTTAGGAACTTTTTAACGGGCCGGTCCGACCGAGTCTTTTTCAATGCCAGATTCGGGTCCCCAACCCTATTCCTAATCTATTTTCGAAAATACTACTTTAAAATCATTCACAAAAGTCATAATCTCGTCCCATAATAATTTTAATTTATAAAAATTCTACTATAATCTCCTAATAAAAATTATTTTTCTCGATATTTTTCTCTCGATAATTAATCCCGAACTATTAATTACTTTTATTATCAACTATCCAATGTCCATCTTTACTATTAAAAATAAAATACCTAATAATAGTACAATTTCCCGTCACATTCTCTCCCTCCTTGACCACATGACCATCTAAAAACAAACAAAGACTCCCCAAACATGTGCAAGTGTTTGTGGGGGGTTTTCATCCTTCAAAAGTCGTTTTCCTTTATCTTATCTAAAAAGAATCTAGCCTGCTCAATTCAAATCAAACAAACAAATAAATTATTTACTTCTTTGAAAGCTAAAAATATTATTACAACAACCAACATTCCTTCTCTTCAACCACTATTATTTACTAATAAAAGTAAAGAGAGAGGGGGGAGAGGGTCCGCGGTGCCCGCGGCTAATATTCTTTTATTGAGAGAGACTTTTATAAATGAGAATATTTAATGAGAATCTATTTTTGGGAATTATTTAGTGGTATAGAAGAAGAATTGTGAAGGTTGGATTGAACACGTGAATGAAACGTGACTAAATTTTGGAGACTGTTGCGGAGATATTATTTATTAATTATTTATAGAGATTGTTTGTACAAAAATAAGTTTAAGTAAAGTATTAGGTGTAAGACAACCGACAAATTTAGCAGGCTAAAGCTTTAAAAATTTTGGGATGCTAAAAAGCCAGTAAACATTTTAAGACCAAGAAAATAAATTTCTCTTTTCAAGAAATTTCTTTGGAAAACGTCAGCTTTCTGTTCGAAAGAAGTCCAGTTCAGGTTCTAAGTAACCCACACCATCCCTGATACAAATAACTAAAAACTGATCAAAATTCTTGAAATTGGGATAGAGGGGTTAGAGGGGATAGGAGAGAGACTTTATTAACTCAAAAAATTCTGATAGATACAAAAGAAATTAAGCAAGCATGGATAATCTGAATGATAAATCTTCTTAACTCATCTCGAATTTACTAGAAAACTTTATGTGTCAGATGTTTAATGATGTATTTTTAACCCTAAATAGTCTCATTACTAACTCTCTTATACTTTTACTTATATTTTCTTTAAAATTGCAATAAATTTTATCATTTCAACATTCTAAATAGAAATCAGTATTTGCACAAAAAATTAGAAAAAGGTAAATGTTCCAATCATCAAAGGACCCAAAAAAATTTTTTTATTTCTTTAAAATATTTTATTGCATAGAATTATGTAGGTAAGAAACGAAAAAAAATTTGTTAAATATTGCAAACCAAAAATATCTTTTTTTGAAAAAGAGACTATATAATTTTTAAAATTCAACATTATTTCACGTGAAATGTAAATGTTAAAAAAAATATTTTTTGACTACATAAATACATAATTGTTTATGCTTCTTAGCTTCTTTTTGCACATTTCGTATTAGGCACAAAATAAATATTTGTATGTTATTCACGTGAAATTTTTTGTTTTAAATTTTTTAAATTTGCCTGTTATGATCAGAGACCGAATTTTGTGATCAATTGAAATTGTTATTAGAGAAGCTTTCGTAAAAGTTCGATCTTTATAACCGAGATTATTGAGTGATATATGGTCTTTAATATCAGAGGTGGGTCGGAACAGTCAGAGGTGTCGGAAATTGGAAGAGCCGGAAATAGGAACTAGCTCAAAAGTCGGAACTCGGAAATCACAATTTTTTCGGAAATCGGAAGGAAAAAACGTCGGATATCGGAATTCCAATCCACATCTGTTCAATCTGATAAATAATTAAATAAATTTAATAGAAAATATGGGTCTTTAAACGCCATTTCTAAAAATATTTTCTTTTTTTTTGTTGATTCATCTTTTATTTTTATCGTCTCAATTAAAAAGATTTATTTAAAAAAAGACAAAAATATAATTTTTAAAAAGCAAATGTGTATCTTTTTTTTCTTTTTTTTTTGTTTGGGCTCAAAGTCCATTTATTTTTAAAAATTATTTTTTTGCAATTCTCAAGGTTTTTTTGAAGGTTTTTCTTTTTTTTATTTTTGTATTGCCCAACGCAATTGTTTTTAATAATAAATGCTTTTTAAAGATTGTTTTTTTTTGTATTTTTGACAAGATTATTTTTGTTTCTATGAAATTGAAAAAAGAAAAGCTGTTGTAATCTGCTCTTAAAAAATTATTTCAATTTTTAGCACATTTTAAGGCTTAATAAAACCCTAGAAATAAAAGAGGAGATTGTTTAAAGAATTTAACTTAATGTTTGTAAACAGTCTGCTAATGTTATAGATGGAGCTGTATTTTAACAGAATATCTAAAGGATTCTCACAACCTTATAAGAAATTTTAAGAAGTAATTTAAAAAAAATTTTTAGAAAAATTTTTTTAAATAAAAGTTACAAGATCTGTTTAAAGAGTTGATTTTGGATTTATCTTTCTGTTTTTTATATATCTGATTGTGACTTGTTTCGCCATAATATTTTAGGATATAGTTTAGTCGAGGGCCCGCTCCAAACCGGGTCGAAACATATGTCATTCGATTCGTCTCGGCGAGCTGAGTCGAATGGTACCACTCCCTAACTGCGGAAATGCCTGTGGACCGAGATATAGGTCCCTGAAATTTGAAAAACCATAGGGGGAGTAAGCTGAATTTTGGGGTGAAAAATTCGATTTTTTGTATGATAGCTCATTCGAAAGAGCTCCTCGAGCTGAGTCGAATGACGCCAAAATCACTGTGATTGGACAAGTTTGGGCCGAGATATAGGGCTCGAAATGATCAACTTAAACCTATGGAGCGTCGGCAAGGCGCTTGTGCAAAACCCCGCGCTTCGCGCGGGGTTTTGCGGCACGCGCCTCGCGGGGAGTCTACGGGCGCTGGGTCTGGGCTCGTAACTTAATCCTATTCTTTTTACCGATTCTCAGCCTTGAATGCCGACCTACCCTCCGCAGCAGCACAAATAGTTATTCGCGCGAAAGTTAAGTTGTTCATAATTTTGTTCAGAATCATCGGATCGAGCTGATTTTGGTGTCATTCGACTCAGCTCGAGGAGCTCTTTCAAATGAGCTATCATACAAAAAATCGAATTTTTCACCCCAAAATTCAGCTTACTCCCCCCTATGGTTTTTCAAATTTCAGGGACCTATATCTCGGTCCACAGGCATTTCCGCACTTAGGGAGTGGTACCATTCGACTCAGCTCGCCGAGACGAATCGAATGACATATGTTTCGACCCGGTTTGGAGCGGGCCCTCGACTAAACTACAGCCATATTTTAGCTAAGAAAGTTGATAGGGAATTTTTAATATTTTTTGTCACTTTTCGAAGATTTTTCACACTAAATAATACTCTCTTATTCACCAAAAAATTTATTTATTTACTCAAAACTACCCGTAACTTTTAATGGTTACATTCCCCGTTTTTGCTTTAAACTAAATAAAAAATTGCCTCGCATTTTCTGCTTTTTCTCATCAATTTTCTACCCTCCTAACTGGTATCAAAGAAAACGGCAAACAAAAGCTCATCTTTAAAGAGCAAAAGATTTTTTTATTTACCAGTTTGTGTCTTGTCCACGTGAATTTTTGTGGGCAAATTACGCCTTTTTCTTCTAGAAAAAATATTTTTTTGCTTTTTTTTGTCTACATTACCTCCCTCCCCCCTCCCTCCCCCCTCCCTCCTTCCTCCCCCCCCCTCCCTTCTCTTCTTTTTTGTATCTTTAAAAGTTATAGATGGGGGAGGGCGGAGTTTTTTTTGTTTGATTATTTCTGATCTTTAATGTAAATTTATAATATTTAATGTTGGTGGTTACGCCCATATAAACGTCTCGATTGTGAGAAATCAAACCTCTATAAATTGAGTTGATAAAATATCAAATGCCATTATTTTTTATATTAATTTGATTTTCGAGTAGAAGGGTCCTTAAAACAGGCGAGAACCTCACTAAGCACCTCTAACTTTATTTTCCAAAAAAAATTTTTTTTTCGATTTTCGACAATCGAATTCTGAAAATTTGGTTCCAATTGACGAAAATTTAATTTTTTATTCAAAAATTTTATTTGATATTTTTGTTAGTTTCCTACCTTAAAAGTATTTTTTTCAAATTTAAGTTGTCTACCAACTCATTCATCTTTTTCACCACTTCATACAATACAAACATCCTCTTCTAAAACTTCCCCCTTATTTTTATTTAAAATGCCAGCTTATAACGACGAAATTTTCAATACAAACATCGAACAAAATGTTTTGCCTAAATTGGCCGTTTTTGAGGCAGACACCCCTCCTGTCGTCCCTCAAATCAAAAAATCTCGAAAAATGGATTCTCAAAAATTTCGTTCTGAACTTATCAAAAATATTGATACTTTTATTTTTGACGCTGATGGAGTTTTGTGGTTGGGAGAAAATGCAATTCCTGGGTCTTCGTCTTTCATTGAACATGTTGCAGAATTGGGGAAGAGAATTATTGTGTTGACTAATAATGCAACTAAGTCTCGGGCCGTTTATGCAAAGAAGCTTGCTGGTTTGGGTTATGGACGTTATATTAATGAGGTGGGGGAATTGAAAGAATATACTAATTATAGAAAGATCAGAATTTCATTATTTCCAATTAAAGGCGGGTCGGAATTACGATTTCCTACGTTTTTTTCTTTCCAATTTCCGAAAAAAATTTTGATCTTTTTTCTCAGCCAGTTCCGGTTTCCGGCTCTTCCGATTTCCGAATTCTCTGACTGTTCCGACCCACCTCTGTTTACAATCAGAATTTCTATCAGAATTTAGAAGTAATACTTAACCAGAATTTAGCGAGCATCTTATGCCAGAATTTCATAATTTAAACAATTATTAAAAAATTAAATAATATTAAGTAAAATACTTGAAGTAAAAAATATTTTTAGCACAACATTGTAAACCCCGCTGCTGTTGTTGCCGATCTCATCCATCGTTCTGATCTTGCACGTCACGACAAGAAGGTTTACTTGATTGGAAGTCAGGGAGTAAAGGACGAATTAAAACTTCTAAATATTGAATATTTTGGGGATGGGTAAGGGAAATTTGGAAGAAGATTTAATTATTTTTATCTGTTTTTAAAGAATTGACCCAGTAGATGCGCAACCAGCATCAAAGGGCCAGGCTTTTCTTTATGAATTGGAACTTGAAGAACACCCGGAAAATGTTGGAGCTGTTGTTGTTGGCTATGAGAAATATTTTAATTATCTCAAATTAATGAAGGCTGCAAATTATTTGCAAGTGAGTTTCTGGGAGAAGTTAAAGAAAGTTATTCGAACTTGGGAGGATTTTTAAATTTTAATGAACCCCCGTCTATTAATTTATCTACATATTTTGTTTTTTAGAATGAAGACTGTCTCTTTTTGGCAACCAATGAAGACGAAACTTGTCCAGGTCCAAATCCCGAAACCATCATTCCAGACGCCGGGCCATTAGTTGCTGCTGTCAAAACTGCTTGTGGACGTGAACCTTTAACCGTTGGGAAGCCGAATACTCCAGCTTTTGACTATATTTGTCGACGTTGGGGAGTTGATTCAATCGACCCGCAACGTACTTTAATGGTTGGAGACCGTGTAAATACTGACGTTAAATTTGGACGTGATCATGGATTGCGAACTCTTTTGGTTTTGAGTGGATGTCATGGGGTAAGTGGGTCTTTTTGAACTCGAAAAATTTAATTTTTTAAAGTTGGACGATATTGAGGACGGCATTCTTCAGAGCCGTGAAGATTTGGTACCTGAGTTTTATGCGGATAGTCTTGGAGCACTCATTCCAACAAAAGAGAAGGTCAATAAGAAGAAGACTAAAGCTGAAGAAGGCGAACAAAGGCGAAAGGCCGTCTGTGTTTAAAATACAAATTTTTTCTTTAAAATTTAACAATGAATATTTTGTATAAATTTATTATACACACTTTTTTAAATAAGGATAAATAATTTTTTAAAAAAGGATAATAATAATTATGGGACTTTGTTCTCAAAACTTTTGTTCTTGAAAATATAATAATTCCCAATGTTTTAAATTTTGTTTGTTCTGTTGTTTGTAATTTACCAGAGCAAGAGACTTAGAAAATGATTCTGTACCGATTTAAAGTTCCGAAAATATGAAAAACCAAGGGTGGAGTAAGCTAAATTGTACTACTTGACTTTATGGTTAAAGTTTTTTACCATAAAATTCTTCGCTTTTCAGAGCTACAGGCGAAAACTTTTTGGAGTTCTGAAGCCTAAGGAGCCAAAATATTCCGTTTTCCAATAATCAATGCAAAATATACAAAATTTATGATAAATTTTAGGTTATTATAATAATTATTATGTTTTTTTAAATTTGCATTGTAATCAGCAAAGCCATTTAAACAGTTTTTCTACGAAACCAACCAAATTTTTTAAAATACCATTTTGTTAACGAGACGAAACGGCAATGATTTTTTTCAAAATCTTTTTTTATTTTAAATTTACTTTATAATTACATAAATTGTACATATGTATATCTAAAATTATTACCTTTGTCACTTAATTTTGTTCTTTTTTGGAAAGTAAAAATTTAATCTTTTTTATGTATAATTATTACTGGCTTTTAGATATAATAAAAAAATTTCTATAAACATTATAAATATAAAAATAGCACCTGTTTTTTATTTGGTAAATTGCATTTTTTAATATTACTTTTAAGGCCAACAATTATTCGAGAATAAACTAAAAATACATACAATAACCAAAACTTAAAAAGAGTGCTGAATATTAAGAATTATTTATAATTCTGTTTAATTATTATTCATTTCTTAGTTAATTTTTTATTTAAATATTAATTAATGCTTATTAAATATTTAAATTAAAAACTAAAATAAAAAATTTCTGACACTAAAATTATCAATTTCTAATTATAAAATATTAATTTGAAAAAAAATTAAAATAATTTTATTAACAAATTGTAACATTTATCTTTAATAAATTTTAATTTAAAATTTAAATTCCAAATGGTAAATTACTATTTTACAATCTAAATTAAATACACTCATTGGCATGACATTTTTAATTAATGGAAAACTTTCCAATACTTCGACAATTCTTGGAGACGAGGTAAAATATAGAAGGATTTTCCAGGATCTATTAACCTTATTCCTAATCTTAGCGTCTTAAGTAAAAGGGCGAACCGGCTTTAGTAATACTCACCAAAAATTTGAAAATTATATTACAATTTTTATTTTTTTCGATTTTTGATTTCGAAAATCCTTTTGGTTCTTTAATTTCCGATTTTCGAGGATTCTTTGTTTCGAAGCAGTATCGGGATTAAAGACCAAACCTAATTTGCGTTATACATACATACGTATTAGAATAAAATTTAAAAATTCAATTTTGTCTAAAATTTTTCAGTTTTTCAACATGTACCGTGATCGTGGTCTTACCCCTGGACTTGCAATTATGGCATTCCTTATTGCTTGTTGTGCTATATCGGGAAATATAATGAACGCTTTTCTTGTGTATATTACAGCTAGAAATAAGTAATTTAGATTCTAAATTTTAATTTATAATTCTCAGAAATCAGAATCGGATTTCAATTTTCAGATCTCTTCGGGGCAGCACCAATTATTTATTGGCCCAACATTCACTCTGCGAATTTTTCCACCAAACAGGGCATTATATTTTCCTCTACACAATTTTTTCTGGGAAAAATTTTATTTCCTATGCAACAAGTACAGCATTCCAAATCCAGTCAATTTTGGGTTACAATTCTGCAGTTTTTACAATGTTCGAAACAGCTACTGATCGTTTATTATGTGTATTAACTCCTACACTGTTAGTATTTTTAAATCAGAATTAATTAAATTTCAAATTCTGATTTTAAATTTAAAATGTTTCTCTTCAGAATTATTTAAAACTCGGAATTTTTAAAGGAAATTCTGATTTATTTAAGAATTCAGAATTATTTTGTAATCAGAATTTTTAATTAAAATCAGAAATTGTACTTGGGTTATTTTATACTTGAAATTTATTATTCTGAAATTTAAATTCTGTTTTATTTTCTTAAACAATATAAACAATTAAACAATTTTCTTTAAAAAATTTTTATTTCGATAATTCTGATTTTATTCAATTTAATTTTAGCTATTCACAAATTGTTGGGCCTGCTTATTTAGGAACGTTCAGCATTCTATCCTTCATTCCCGGAGTAGTTTTAGCTTTTTTAGTTTTGTCATATGCAATAGAAAATCCGGCAGAGTAAGGGATATTATTTTAAATTATTTGAAATAAATATATTTTAGACCGGTAACTGGCCAACTTAGCGATACTTGTACTCCCGTCCAATTAATTTATAATTACAATTTGGTAATGTGTGTTCTTTGTATTATTTCCTATGTTATTATTGGGGCAATTGTTGTGAAAAAAGGTAAATAAAATAAAATTAATTTTGATAGTAAAAAAAAGCAAATTTATTCTCGGGAAAGATATTTTTTGAGGCAAAATAATATTGAAATTGATCAGTGCCGAACTTTAGATTTTCGGATTTTTCCTACAATTTACGATTCTTCAATTAATTGGAATTTTTTCAAATTTTAATTTTTTTTATTTTCAATGCAGCTCATATTAGGGTTAGGAGCCCAATCGGTGCGATAGATCGAACTGGGCCTCGAATTTTGGCCCGAAAAAGACTCGAACTGGAAAAATGACTAAAAAATGACTCAAACAACTCTAATAAATATGCTTAACTAAACTTTTTTCAAAAATTATTACTCTTATTTTATTAAATAATTTAAGTAAAAGAAAATCAAAACAAAAGGAACGCAAATTATTTAAATCAACGGAACGCCAAACTTTTGCGTTCACTTTCGGCGATAATTATAATTATGGTTGGAAGTTATTTCCTCAACACTCTTATACGAAAATTTGTCAGTGATATACTGCATCTGGGACCTATTGGTTTGTGGTATGTTAATGTTGCTGGAGGTGTTTTGGTAAATATTGGAGCAGCTTCGAATACTCCAATTCTTTACGCATCAAGGCAAGGAAATTATAAAGCTTTGCTAACTAAAATTTGAGCTTATTTAATTTCGCAAAACGGTAATCGGGACGTTGTTAATCGGACTTTTTGGTATCGAAAGATATCGATACATGAAATTTTTGACTCGATCCAATCTCAAATTATTACCATACCTTGCCTAATAATAAAATAAAATTTTAATGGCTACATATTACCATTCTAAATCCAATTTATTAAATTATGCCAAAAACACATTCAAATAAATTTGTACCCGAAAATTTTGATCCAACATATTTATAATTTAAATACTAATTTTTAAAAAACTAAAAAATTCAACATTTAAATTAATTTTTATTAATAATATGTATATTCCAAATTAATTGATCTCAAATTTAAAGCTCCGAATATCGCCGAGTTATTGACAACGAATTACATTCAATCTTAGGCTCGTATTGGAAAATCTCTGCCCCCAAACCTCCCAAAAATCTATTTGCTACAACAGCTTCACCGAATGAAAATCAAAAAATTTTTAATAGAATAAATGCAAAAATCAACGCTGTAAGTTCGTCGACTGATCCAAAGACAGCGCGAGTACATCCTACTCCTATCAATTTTTTGCCTATCATTTAGTTAAATTGAAATTCTAATAATTGAATTAATAAAAATATTTTTTGTTAAAAAATAAAAGAAATTTTTAACTTCCAAAGAGAACGTCTTGGAAATAATTTTTGGGGGTAATTCCGCTGTGTTATATGTAGGAACGAAATCATTCTGCAAAGAAAAAGAAAATCTTTGTTATTAGTAGGATCTGAATCGAATCTGTCTCAACCAACAATGCAGAGATCTAAACTATTTATTTAAAATACGAAATTTTTTTCAAAATTCTTTTATTTTATCCTTATAGTAGCCCAAAATTCGAACCTATTTGGGCCCTTTCTCGGATTTTCCCCCCTATTTTGCCACTTAAAAGCCTAAAATAGGAACCTATTTCTCACTTTTTCGAAACTAAAATGTCGGAACCTAGTCATAATACAATGCAGAGATGTAAACTATGATTTTATCATTAAAAATTATCCGAACTCTATTAATTACAAAGCCTTTTAAAATTAAAATTATTAATAACTCTTTTATTTAATTACGTATTATTCATAAAAACCAACAAAACACAAGACTAACAATTCTAGAAAAACTTTAATAAAAAATGAATAATATTTTTTATGAGTAATACTTATAAATTTAATAAATCCCAAATAATTAGAAAAAAATTAAATAAAAAATTTTCAGTTTAGCGAGTTTAGTTTCTCTCAAAATTTTTCTCTCAAAATTTATAAACAATAAACAATTTTGTGTAAAAACGCCGCCAAAAAGTTTTCCGTTGTTTACCAAAAATTCAGAAAAAAACGGGAAATTTGTTTTAACTTTTTCACTTTTTAAAAAAAAATATTGTCTTGCTCAACAAAAAAGGTGACAGTTAATCCATCAAATTTTGAGAAAAATTTTTTTAGTGGAGAGGGGGGGGGGGTGAAAATGTGGAAAGTTTAAAAATAATTTTTTCTTTCTTTGACTCAAAAAAACCCAAAAAAAATTTTTTAAGTGTTAATTTTTTAAAAACCTGTTCATTACTGGATGAGAATAACAATAATAATAAAATTTTAAAAATAAGATAAAACGAGATAATTTAAAATACGTATAAAAAATAAACGATAGTATGCACATAGGTATATTAAAATTTTAAAAATTTGATGTAATAAATTATTATAATGGCCATGTGCGCAAGTGGCAATAAAAAATATCAGACAATCGTCAAGATGATGAAATAAAAAGATAATATTACAAACTAACTCGTAAACAACCTAACACAACAATGAAAGTAAAAAGATAAATTAAATATTTTTTTGTCAAATTTAAAATTTTACAACCTTTATCTAAAATTCTGACGAGTTATAGTAATTGTAAATAATATAAAATGGGTTATTTACAGACTTGGTAATGGGCATGTATCTTGGTATTCGTATCCGAATATTTAAGAGGGATACAGGCAAATATCCACAGGCGTCTATATATTCTCTGTATCCGTATCTATTACCAAGTCTGGTTATATCCATCCAAAATTTATATGAATGAATTATATGAATTCACAACTTCATGGGATCCAAAACCATAATATAAAATAAATTTTTGGAGAGTGAATTGAAGTTAGCAAATCAAATTGAATTTGGACTGGAATTGAATTTAGGCGCCAGACGTATGCATATTGACTCTTCCAAAATTTGTAGCAAAGCTAAAACCATCAGTCATTTTCTCCCGGTTTTCGCGCAACCTTTCAACACCCTTCAAGAAGAACGACGCCGATTTTGTTTTTTACAAACAAATTTTGTAATTTTTTGTAGTAATTTTTGCATTTTTTAAAAATAATTTGCACGCTCTAATTATTAGCTAGAAGAAAGGAGAACGGTTAAAAATAAAGGGAGAGAGGAAAGAGAAAAAAATAAAGAGTCGTAGTCAAGAAATGCGCAGTCAAAATAATAAAGGAAAGAGAAAAAAGTGTTTTTGTTTAATATACATTTTTTCAATTTTGTTTTATTAAATGATTGATATTACTTAACAAAAATTATCAAGAGAGTAAGAAAACGCGTGGCTACTTTAAACAAATTTTTTTATCAAACAACCGTTCTCATAAACAATTTGGCAAAAAAGGAGGCGTCGTCTCCAATAAACACAAATTTCAAGATGTATAAAAGTGTTCAAATCAAAACAATTAAATCATTCTCAGTTTTAATTTTATTTTTAATACCACATTAAAAATATAAACAAAATGAAAACCTCAGTGTTGTGTTTATTTTTGATTATTTCTATTATTTCAATTTATGCCGATGATAAAGAAGTTGAGAATCATAAAGAAAAACGTGATGGTGATGATAAAGCACTTACTCATAAAGTTGATGATGGAACAAGAGAGGAGCGTGATGATAAAGAGAAACGTGATGATAAAGAAAAACGTACCGAAAAGACTATAACAGGAAAGAAGCATGTCGAAGCAGATGAGGCAAAAACCGAAACTTCTGGTGCTGATGAACGTGAAAAGCGTATTACAGGAAAGAAACCAACAGAAAAGAAACCTGTTGAGGAAGTTTCTGACGAAACAAGGTGAGAAAATATTTTAAAAAATTTAAATTTGAAAAACATTATCGTAATCGTGGAGAAACATACATGTATATTACCCATATAAAGGAAATTCTATAAATGTTGTTTAGACTTAATCTAGATTTTAGAAGATATTCTGTGATTATGCACCTGTGATCATACAGGTGTTAACTTCTCTATAGCCCGAAAAAAACGTGGGGGAATCTAATTTGTAGTTTATCTACTTCTATAAAATTGTTCTTAAGAAGATCACAAAATTTTTAAATGTAAATAAATAAAATTTTAACAGAGAAAAACGCACTACTAAAGAAAAGAAGCCTACAAAACCCGCTGACGCTGAAGAGTCAGTAGCTGAAGAGAGCCGTGAAAAGCGTGCTACCCCAAAAAAGGAAAAGCCAAAAGCCGCTGAGGACGAATCTAAAGTTGAAGAGGAGACTCGCGAGAAGCGCTTAACTGGAACCCCAAAGAAGACAAAACCTGCTGACGCTGAGGAAGAGACTCCTAAAGTTGAGGAAGAGACTCGTGAGAAGCGTTTGGCAACAACAAAAAAGGAAAAGATCAAGCCAGCTGATGACGAATCTAAAGTCGAGGACGAGACTAAGGAAAAGAGAACTACAAAGAAGGAAAAGACAAAAACAGCTGATGTAAGTATACATACAGGGGAAAAATGTAAAATGGTCTTGAAATAAAGATAAGACTAGTATTTTCTATAAATACGAGTGGTTGACTTTCTAATTCTTAAAGCTTTAGTTTACTTTTAGGTCAGCTAAACTATAAATTTATTTATCCCAAACCATAATACTTATTAGGGTTATACAAGAAGGTTATCCCAGTATGTTAAAGTAAAGATTTGTGTTGTTTTAATCTTGAAAACTTTTCGGGTCATCATAGTAAACTAGAGTAGGATAAAAGTTAAAGTGTGATTTTAAAATCGTAATTCTTTCAAGCAATTTTTAAAATTCAAAACTTTAAAATATTTTTTAGATTGCAGCAGAAGCAGACGAACCCAGAGAGGAGCGTATGACAAAGAAAACTAGCACAGCAGAGAAAAAGCCAATTCATACCCGCGCAGCTCGTGCAACAAAGACTGGAACCAAAACAATAGAACCAAAAGGAAAGGGCCATTAAATGGTGATAAATTTGGCTATTATATTTAGTATGTAGATTTAATTGAAAGAGAAAGAGATGATTTAATCTTAAATATTTTTTAATTCTTTCATTTTTTGACGATGAAAATAAAAGAAGGCTATTTTTAATTGTTTTTAATTGCGAGTAAAGTTGCTAGTAGTGTTCACCGGAACCTAAATTTTGACCGTAACTGAAATCGGATCCAATTTGAGTTCCGGATCCCGGAACTTTTTCTCGGTTTCGGCCTGGAACAGGAATTTAAAAAAATTTAACTAGCGAATTTAAAAAAATTGGATTTAAAGTAGGGTTGCGCGAGGTCGAGGTTTTTCGAAAAAACCGAGACCGAAGATCACCGAGACTGAAAAAGCGAGGTTCGAGGTCGAGGGTCAAATTTCAGTCGAGGTCCGAGGTCGAGGTTCGAGGATAACCGAGGGTTATAAAAAAATTTTAATCTTTTGAAAATTTATTATATTTTAATTTACTAAATTTGGTCAAATATTCGCTAAATAATTACAAATTAATAATTTCAATCATATTCAGATCCAGCAGGGGACCCAATACAATAAATCAGACACTCATATCCTTGGCCAAATAATTTCTAAGATTTGATCAAATTTTTGCAAATATTTTGGAATAGAACTTTGATGAAGTTGGAAAATTAAATTATTTGATCAAATACTTTGAAAATATTTGATCATCTGGGACAGCGGATTAAGACTTATAACGAAGAATCAATGGGGATAGCAAAAAGGAACCAAGGAGGATATAAGGGGGCTTCAGCGCATTAATTGGCTTAAGGGGATTTGGGGATCAAGGAGTATATCAGATATATGAAAGGATATCGTGGGATTTGTAATGATAAAGGGTATATAGCGGATGTAGATGGATTAGTGGGAATTTAATGGATATCGGTAAAAGGAAGATATGTATTAGGGGATTTGTATGGTTAATTTTAATTCATTAACTATTTTTTGTGCCATAAAGCGATTTGGTGGATAATAAAAGTACAGGAGATATCGTTTAATTTGAATATAAGGAACAACAATGAGCATGCGAAAGGATTTTGGGAAGGAATCCAAAATCCTTTTGTATTCTGGATCTCTGCGCCGCAGGCGAAAATTTTTAGATTCTTGGAAGAACAATAACCAAATCATCATCGAAAAAATAATCCAAAATTGTTAATTTTTATGAAAAATACTTGAATTTTTTTATTTTTTTTTTCAAATGATTTTTTATATTATATTCTAACAAATTGTTAGACGAAATCAAAATCAGTTAGAAAATAACGGAGATATTAGATTTCAAAGTCGGTTGAATCAACTTGAATCGGATTTTTTTAAAAATTGAATGAAAAGAGTATGGAAAACCAAGAGAAAATTAGAGAAAAAGAGATAAATTTAGCTCTTTTTTAATTGGTTGCCCTGTTAAATGACATTTCGTTCGCTATGCTGCTGTGCCGATTCAGAAGTCATTTGAAAGAGCACGGCGAGCTGAATCGAAAACGATAAAATTAGGTTATGTTCTCAACCTTAGACCGAGATAAAGACCTCCGAAAATCGAAAAACATAGGGAAGACCAAGCTGAATTTTGTCGTGAAAATTTCAAATATAATTAATTTGAAAGATCGTAAAACTGAGTGGAAAGTGTGGAAAGTTTAAAAATAATTTTCTCTTTGACTCAAAGAACCCCAAAAATATTTTTTTAAGTGATAATTTTTTAAAAACCTGTTCAAGCAGGATGGGAATAACAATAATAATAAAATTTTAAAAATAAGATAAAACTAGATAATTTAAAATACGTATAAAAAAGAAAAGATAGTATGAAAAAAAATTTTAATTTTGAAAATATGATGCAATAAATTAAATAATGGCCAAGTGCGAATAAAAACAGTAAGACAATTATCAAAATATTTTAAAATGATGAAATAAAAAGATAATATTACAAAACAAAACACTTAAGGTAAAAAAATAACTTAACAATTTTTTTGCGCAACCTTTCAACACCCTTCAAGAAGAACGACGGCGATTTTGTTTTTTACAAATTAATTTTGTACTTTTTCGTTCTAATTTTTGCATTTTTTTAAAAATAATTTGCACGCTCTAATTATTAGCTAGAAGAAAGGAGAACAGGGAAGAGAGGAAAGAGAAAAAAAAAGTCTGAGTCGAGAAATTTTGTTTTTTATATATGAAGAAAAGAGAAAAAAAGTGTTATTATTATACTTTTTCAATTTTGTTTTATTAAATGATTGATATTACTTAACAAAAATAATCAAGGAAGTAAGAAAACGCGTGGCTACTTTAAACAGATTTTTTTTATCATACAACCGTTCTCATAAACAATTTGGCAAAAAAGGAGGCGTCGTCTCCAATAAACACAATTTTTAAGATGTATAAAAGTGTTCAAATCAAAACAAGTAAATCATTCTCAGTTTTAATTTAATTTTTAATACCACATTAAAAATATAAACAAAATGAAAACCTCAGTGTTGTGTTTATTTTTGATTATTTCTATTATTTCAATTTATGCCGATAATAAAGAAGTTGAGAATCATAAAGTTGAGGCCGAGACAAAAGAAAAACGTAATGGTGGTAATCATGATGTTCCGGATGAAACAAAAGTAAAACGTGATGGTGATGATAAAGCAATTACTCATAACGTTGAGGCCGAGACAAAAGAAAAACGTGATGATAAGGTCTTATAACACAGATTTATTCCCTTTTCAGCGCCGCAGGCGAAAATTTTGAGATTTTTGGAAGGTCAAGGAGAAAGACTTCATCCTTATTTTACAAAAATTCCATCATTAGGGGTGTATATTTACCCTCGGTCCTCGGCGAGGTTCTTGGTGAGGACCGAGACGAGGTTCCGAGGCCAGAGATCAGCAAAATCGATGTCGAGGTTTGAAAATGGGCGAGGACCTCGGTCTCGGCGAGGCCTCGACCTCGACCAACTCTAAACTAGAGTAGGATAAAAGTTAAAGTGATTTTAAAATTGTAATTCTTTCAAGCAATTTTTAAAATTCAAAGCTTTAAAATATTTTTTAGATTGCAGCAGAAGCAGACGAACCCAGAGAGGAGCGCAAGACAAAGAAAACTAAAGAAAAAAACAATGGAAAAGCAAAAAAAGACAACAAAAAATCAAAAGAAAAAAACAATGGAAAAGCAAAAAAAGACAACAAAAAACAAGATAAAAAAACAATGAATATCCGCGCAGCTCGTGCAACAAAGACTGGAACCAAAACAATATAATCAAAAGGAAAGGGCCATTAAATGGTGATAAATTTGGCTATTATATTTAGTATGTAGATTTAATTGAAAGAGAAAGAGATGATTCAATCTTAAATATTTTTTAATTCTTTCATTTTTTGACGATGAAAATAAAAGAAGGATATTTTTAATTGTTTTTAATTGAAAGAGTAGGGGGTTGCTAGTAGTGTTAACCGGAACCGAAATTTTGACCGGAACTGAAACCGGATTCATTTTGAGTTTCGGATCCCGGAACCGGAACTTTAAAAAAATTTTGCTAGCAAATTTTTAAAAATTTTGATTTAAAGTAGTGAAGTCGGTTGAGTAGTGAAGTCAGTTAACCGAACCCTAACTGAAAGCCCGAACCAAACTAAACAAATCCCCTGATATGCCCGATACCACACTAATTTCATATATCCCCTTTGATCTCGGAATCTTTTCGAAGTATCCTTAATCCCACCAGATCCCTCAACAGTTGACTATAATCGACTAAAAGAGTAATGTTAGCGTTAAAAATTGACATTAAGCGAAAAGATATGCAAATAAGCGAAATATACCTAGTACATCAATTCTCTTTTAGAGGTCGATCGAAAAAATAGCCCGGGGGATATTTTAGAGAAAATACGGTATTAGTTAAACTTTTAAATAATATCACAAAATTATTGTTCTAGATATTAGTCGAAAGACTGGATTTTATATAACTTTTGATTATTTTTTACCAATTGTATTTTTGAAGTTAACGCAAAATTTATCTCTCAAAAATTTTGAAATTTTATCCGAGCAATTTCTAAATGTTTCGTTTAAAATAAATCAAAGAATAAAATCATATAATGATCTGTATATCTAAACTCGGAATTCTCTTTGAAAATACTTCTTGTAAAGCAACTCTTTACTCTTCGCCATTCTATTTCTTGCCTTCAATGTTCAATCCCGACATGTCCATGTTAAAAGCAGTCTTTGGTGGGTCTGGCTAAAATTTTTTATTTTAGTACATATGTATTTCTATTTTTAATTAAAAAATTTTTTTCAAGAAATATTATCCAAAAACTAATATTTGGATAGAAAATTCATAAAATGTTTGTGATTAAATAATTTTGTCTAAGTTAAAGAAAAAACAAAAAAAGCAGAGCTGGAAAAAGTTAAAAAAAAGTTTTATTGATACTTACCATATTTTTATATACTGAATTTTCATTGTTTATCGCTTTCTAAATAAATTTTTAAGGTTATCGTAAAAGATAAATATACTAGTGTTAACATACTATGCTCTGTCTTGTGGGGTATCTCTTGAAATATTTCAGCGTTATTCAAAAATCAAAACTTCTGAGAAGTTGGCCAAATATGTAAATTAAAAAAAAGTCTAACCCGATATATTTATCTTTCGGTATTTTATAATGCAGAAACAAAAAATTTGAGATTAAAATAGAGTGACCTTCATAAAAACTCCACATGACTGAACATATTATGTACACCCGAATAATTAAAAATTTAAAAATTATTTGAAGGTTTACTGGAATAATGATTTTCAAGTTACTGCCACCTTTAAAGATAAAATGGTATAATTCAAGTTTGTATCGCCTTTTTTCCTTCCTCAAGTATTAAAAATGGACATTCTTGATTACTTCCTCGATTTAACTCAATTTCCCCATGGCTTACAAATCAGGCAATAAAAGATTATCAATTATAATACTTAGCTTCTTTTTGGACTTAAGTCGTGAAAATTCCGTCATAAGTACCAGAAACCGATTCAGACTCAGCTCGCCGAGCTCATTTGAAAGAGCTCGGCGAGCTGAATCAAAGACGATAAAATTAGGCTCTGGTCTCAACCATGGGAAAGACCTCCGAAAATCGAGAAACATAGGGAAGACCAAGATGAATTTTGTGTTAAAATTTCGAATATGCAACTAAATTGAAAGACTCCTAAAGCTGAGTTGTTTTTGGACATGTTTGGATTCATATATTACCCACGGAGCGATTCCGGTGACATTCGACTCAGCTCAATGAACTCAACATCTTAAAAAATTGACTGGGGGCTAAATAAGTACCAAAATTTGGCGAAAAGGAATTTTTATTTAATACTTATTTTTTACTATATACCTAAATATAGTAGTACATATATTCCCGATCTTCAAAAATCTAACTTTTCGGCCCCTTCTGATTAAAATTAAGTTGGAGTTGTTCACCATCCCGACTCTCTCCCTCCTCTCTTTAGCCCCAAAAGGTTGTGTCCCGAAAGTTAATTAGTTTTTTTATTTGATTTATTTAACTTTTAAAATAAGAATAAATTTTGAGTAACAAATACCTTTAAATTTAGGTCCAGCCTTGACGCTCAAAGGGTTTTTCGCTTAATAAATTTTAATTAGTTATGAAAAAATAAAATTTTAATATACCTTTACTTTCATTTATCTCATTGTTTTTTCCGCTATTACAGAGATGTATATAAACAGCGACTATCACTAGAATTAAAAGGAATTTTGCCATCCTTTATGGGTAGTTTTTGTTAGTTTTTAAATTTTAAATGATGCTCGTAGTTGTTGAATCCGCTTTTTTATAAATGGGGAGGATGGGGAGGGAGGAAGGGGGGGATGGGGAGTGGGGAGAGGATGGGGAGGGATTTTGCTATTGCTATATTGATGGCTAGAGAAAGGGATAAAGAGTGATGCGAGTGATGGGTGATGGGAGTGATGGGCTAGTGGGGAGGAGGGAGAGAGGAGGGATGGCATAAGACTTCTAAAAAACGCTCTCCTCGACAGTTAATCGATGCCACTCGATTTTTCTATTGTTTAAAGAATTTTACAGAGAAAATTTATTTATAACTTTAAGACACCCCCCCCCCCCTCTCTATGTTTGGGTCCCCAAATGCCGGCGTTATGATTATGCCCATTGCCTATCCAGAAATACATCCATCATGAATTGTTAAAGTTACAAAATATTGTTACCGAAAACATCATTGTGCTTGTTCAAAAGCAAATCAACTAGTATTTACATTATTGTTTATTTAATTGAATAATCCCTAAGATTATTACTGATGATTATCTGGGCTGCATTGTTACAGGCTACAGTCGAATTTAAATTCTTTATTGACGCGAGTGTATAATTAAATTTCTTCGCATGATGTAAAATTTTGTAAACAATAGAAAAATTGAATGGAATTGATTAAATCTCGAGGAGAGCGTTTTTTTATTTTTAAAGGAAGGTCTTATGCCATCCCTCCTCTCCCCCTCCTCCACACTACCCCATTACCCATCACTCACATCACTTCCATTACTCTCATTCTCTCCCCTATCCCTCCTCCACTCCTTCAATATAGCAATAGCAAAATAAAAAATCATTATTATGATCAACACTAAATATTTTTAATTTTATTAAACAACATGGAAGTTGTTCAAATTTTATTAAACAACGGATCAAAACTTCATATCTATCAATTGATAAGATTGAAGTTTGTTCTGTTGTCAAAAATTCCTCGTTGTTGGTAAACACCTCCACGACATTGGAATATATACATAATTATTAAATAAAAAAATTTGAAGTTGAATCCGCAATTTTGGCTGCTGATATTTGGGGGCACGATATTTAGGTGCGATAGTCTGGGTGATATTTTAGGTGTCGATATTCAAGGTGAACTCAAAATAATTAATTTCTCAATTCTAAACAATATTCACTAATTGGGAGAAAAGTTTATTTCCGCTTCATTTTTTCATGAAATTAGGGTCTTTTTTTACACAATTATAAAATTTAATTCTTTGAAATTTCTCTAATACAATGTAGAAAAGTTGTTAAAAAATAGATGTTAAATAAATAGAATTCTTGAAATTTTTAATAAATGTTTTTCAACTTTCAAATTAACTTCAGATATGTCATCATTCTTTTTTGTTATCTTTAGGATTTGTTTTGTGAAGATTCTAAAGATATTTTTATTAAAGTATTTTAAATATTTAGTAATAATCACAACGAAGTGAGACTGTGACTACTTGCTAAATTTAAGTTTATCAATCTCATAAGAAAATTTTAAGTAGATTTTTAAAAAATATAGCTTAATTATGAGCCTTTATTGAGGATCCTTCATTAATATTAAATTTTATTCTTAATGTTATATACCGCTTTTTTGGCCTTCGTTTTGGGCTGCTCGTTTTTATTATTTACAGTTGTTCCTTTAAAAATTTTTTGGAGAATTATAAAATCTGTTAGCTTTATAATTAGAACTACCTTCGAAGAGTGATGGTTCATAAACAGACTCTGCATAATTCCCGCTTATCACCTTATTGTTAGCAACATTGCATTGAATGAAAACAAAAATGGTTACTAATAGAAAAAGAAATAATTTTGCCATTTCTTTTGAAAAATATTTTTGAAATTTTAGTTGAAGATTTATTTAATGATTTTCTTTTTTAAAAAACTTTTTTTATTAAATTAAATTTAAAATTGTCCGTTTTATGTTGAGAAATTAAAAGGGATATTTATTTTTAATGTAGTGAGTTAGAGAAAATATTTTAAAGGAGAGAGCATTGCCTAATATGATTAAGATATGTAGCTATTAGACATTCATTTGTTAACAGACACTATCAGGCACTACCTGATACTGATTAATCCATCGATATTCCGCAATCTCGGACCAGACTTTGATAGAAAAATTTCTCATTTCAAAATAAACTCGAGAATAACTTAATTCTTAATTTTTAAAGAAAAGCTAATAATCTCTATTTTTAATTACCAACAAATTTTTAAACAAATATAAATCTACTTTTAGTAGGTCAATTACACAAAAACCGCCTTTTTGATAATAGAAATTTTTAGTCTAGAAATGAAAGATATCTTATGTTTATAGACAAAACTTAATGCTTTGTTTTAAAATAATTTTTAAAATTATTTTTTTTAATAATTTTTTTAAAATTTGTTAAAAATTATTTAAAAATATTTTTTACATTAAAAATTTTTAAAATGAATTCTTTTTTGTTGAATCCGTTTTTATATCTGATGAAGTGAAGAAAGGGAGGGAGAGAGGGTGGGGGAGAGGAGGGAGCGAAGAGGCGAAAGAATTTTACGCAATAAGAATGTTAAATTTTCTACGAATGTTTTATTTTATACGAAAATCATGAGTGGATGCACTTTTTATTTTTAAATTCGGATTCGACAAAAAATAAAAAAGTTAGATCTAAGGTGTAGTCTTATTGTTAGTCTAAAGTTTTAGAAAATTTCAGTTTTGGACAGCTTTTATTTTATACCCCAAAAAAATTAACAAAAAGAAAAAATTAAAAATATTTTTAATATTTTGATAAAATATTTCATTATAAATCGGTGATATATTAAAAACTTTTAATACCAAATAAGTTTTTTTCCTTTGAAGCAAAAGTTGATAAGTAGCAGACTAGCATATGATTTTTATTTGTTAACGGAAATCAATCGTCAGATTTTTAAATAAATTTTTTTTAAATTACAGACTACAAACTAGGTTTAAAAATAAAAAGTGCATCCACATGATTTTGGTAGAAAATAAAACAAGCCATCACATGCCTGACATTATCCACTATTTACACTTCATTTTAGCCGACTCTTACCCCCAAACTCTTTACTCCATTAAAAACGGATTTCATAAAGTCGGTCATCATCTAGAAATTTTAAGGTTAAAACAACAATCAAACAAAAATGCTAAAGTTAAATTGTATTCTTTTATTACTCAAAACTAAATTGAAGAGCCGGGGGACTACATATGTTGAGATTTTGGACAAACTCTGGATTAAACTCAGTATATCAATTTCAAAAATTCTTGAGAGTTTTATTATATTAATTCTACCTTAAAATAGTTTGCCTATGTTGAGAAATAAAGGAAAATGTATTTTTAAATGTAGGTAATTAACGCGAGACTTTGTTTTCTTTTAAATGATATTTTCTGTCGCAAAACGCATAGAGACAGAATTATTATTCAAGCAAATAATAAGATCAGCAGTCAGGGGACTTTAATTTTCCATAATCTCAAAAGTAAATCCAAAACTTTTTGTATTTTATGTCAAAAACTCCTCGCTAAAAATAACACTTGTCAAAATAGGCACGAGTACTTACATATAACTTAATTTTTATCTCTTAAATAAAGGAACAAACTAAGAATATTTATTTTTCAATTAACAACAAATTGTAAAATAAAAATAATTTAAAATAAAATCAGAACAGCTTTAAAAACCTGTCAAAAACCCTCAAAAATTTATTTTATTTATTTAAGTCAATTCTACGTTTTTTAGCTAAAGGAGAACTAGACGATGTAGCTTGCGTTGTATGGATATGTTTACATCGAATATAATGCACCAAATATATCTCCTTTTCAATCTCCTTGTTACAGAATTCGCATAATTTTTTAAAAGGCAATCCTAAATTTAAAATTATTAAATAAATTAAATTTATTTAAATCAAATTATTATTTTAATCAAAATTTTATTGGAAATAAAAATTCTTTTTTGAAATTATAAATTTCGCTTGGCTAATAAAATTTAATATTCTACATATACATATTCTAGATATACATACTTATATTAATGGCTAACTAAATTTGCTCATCTAAGCTAAAATTATTTACTAAAAAACTTGTACAAGTAATATAATTAAGGATACTCTCTGATATAACCACATCCTACGAGAGGATCGAAAAATACAAGCACAGGTGGTTCTATTAGAAGATTTACGGTATTTTGGGTACAGCCCAAGTAAGCGCTTGCTTCAAGATTTCTTGCTTCAAGATTTCCTATTCTTACAAAATTTAGTATTAAACAATTCCTGTCATCGATCTAAAGATTGATAAGGGCCAGAATTTTTCCAGCAAGTTATGGCTTTGCGCAGTTATGGCCGCGCGCCTACATGGGCGCGTCCCCATTCTCTTTTATCAAAATTCTACCAGTTAAAATCGAAATAGTTTGTGAAACCAGAAATTTAATTTTATTATATAAGTTGAGCAGATCAACATTTTTTGTAATAAACCAACATGGAATTCTATTCTATAAATTAATTAAAAATTAAATTAATTGTTATATTAGTATGCTGGGGTGGCTTGTTATAGATAAGCGCTTTTTTAAATAAAGGCCTTTGTAGTATCATAATTTAGAAAAATTTAGCAATTATATAATGGTGACAGAAATAGGTAGGAAGAAAAGAAAAAGGAATAATGAAGGTGAATGAAGCTTAATTCGAAATTTCGATTTCCGGATTTCAGCGAATTTTTCGTTTCGAAACAGCTCTGTTTGGGAAAATAAAAAATTTAGTAATACGCTCAGGCGAAATATTAATTGTAGTATGAAGTTTGTTCATACCTTACTATCGTATTGAGTGCTACAAACTAGAGATCGGACCGTACCGTACTACGGCCGTATTTTTCAGTATTCCGAATCGATAATACGGCACGGAATACGGTACGGCAAAATTTTGAAGTTGATCGGTATTTTTCTGTATTCCGTACCGTTTTACGGAACGGAAACAAAACAAAATACCGATAATACCGATCGATAAAAATTTTTAAAGTTTTATTTTATTTTAAGCGAAAAAAGGCTCTCGGCCTTTGAAAATTTTCAAAATTTTCGACTGCGGCGCTAAAAAGGACGAAATCTTGTTTCTTGGACTTACATCTCCTCAAAATTTTCGTCTGTGTGTTTATCCCCACAATTTATAAATAAAAATAATTATTTTTAACTAAATAATTTTTTCAAATACGGTACGGAACAAAATTCCGATCTCTACTACAAACTTTTTCAATAATTTATTTAAACTCCAAAAAACATTTTAAAAGTTAAATTTGAAAAATCTAGAAATTTTAATTACCTGAAATGCAAATTGTTTAGTCTCAAAATTTCTAGTAACTATTATAATAGAATCCTTTTGGAATTTTCCAATAATTTGTTTAAACTCCAAAGAATTATCAATACAATAAACTAAAAAAAGTTTAATTAGAAATAATTTTCTTTTAATTTTCAACACCATTTTCAGCCTCAACATGTTCCCCCATTCTGTATAACAATAAACGTCCTAAGGCCCCAGCAATTGTTACACAAGTTGCTTTATTAGAAACAATTACATTTTTATGACCTCTAAAAATATTTTTATAATTTAATTTTAATTAATTTCATGTATGGGGGGGGGACCAAGACCGTTTGGGTTGAAAATTTTCTGTGTATCGTGGGCAGGTTCAAAAAATCATTTTGGGTTGGGGTTGAAAGTTTCAACTCCGGGACCTTGAAAGTCTCAACGCTCCAAACAAAACATATATCATGTTTTGGCGTAGGGGTTGAGGTCAAGGTCAGGTTAGCCTTTAGGGAAAGTGTCAAATTGGTATCTTACATTTTCATTTGACTAAAAATGTAAGATATTTTCCATCTCTGGACAAAAAAAATTTTTATTATCGAAAGGACAATTATCACAAATTCATTTCCATTACTCCTTAACAGAAACAAAATTTCTGTAACTTTGGAAGTGTTAGCAAGAAATATTTAAAATACAAGATGTCATCCTCTTTAAAAAGAAACAATGTACTTAACAACTCCAGAGTAGTTTTATAATTTAAACGAACCCTTCATGAACTAAATTGAAGCTTTTTTTATACAATAAAATATTAACGTCAGGCATTCTCTAAATTTAAAAATAAATTAATTAATTATTTTAGGTAATACCTCAATATTATCTAAAAATTTGATAAATTCAACCGAGTTAATTCCACAATTTCTTAACAACTCTAAATTAAAAAAATGTAAAAAATTCTGTATATAAAGAATCTAAGACGATATAAGAGTTGGCGAAGGAAATATAGATGAACTGAATCCCGATAATATATAAATTAAAGAGATATTTACTGTATATCTCTGAAAAATAAAGACTTCTATCCCGACCTAAAAATTGTTATCTAAAGAAATTTTTTTAGGAAATTTTCTAATATATCTGAATTCAGGACAGTTTCTCTATAATTAACAATCAAACAATAAACGTATCAAAAAAAATAAATCATCCCCTAGCCCTTTTCTAAAATATCTACAAACAACCTTCAAATAGGGATAACTTTTTAAAATATTTGTATATGGAGTGTATTTGTTTTAATTTTTCTGTCATATAACGAAGATTTGAAGATGTATTCAAAGCACCTTGTTCAACATTAGACGAAGAAGAATGAGGGATACGGAAACCAATATTCTGAAAAATCAAAATAATTTTGGGTTTAATTTAGTAATAAATTTTAAAAGAAAAAAATCTAGATGAAAAAAAAAATCGTGATTTGTTTTGCTCCATTTTAGACAACCAATTTGAGGCTTTGGTTTCGAAAAACTCGGAATTAATATAAGTTTATGGTTTTTTAATTCATAAACTCGTCCTTAACAAATTTAAACCCTTATATGGAGAAAGATTGAAAAATTTCGAATGTGACGTTTTCTTAACAGATATTCAAAATATAAAGCAAGAATAAAAAATATTCTGATTGTAGGTCCATTTAAAATTTCCATTGAACGTAAACAATGGCCAATAAGCATTTATTGAACTAATGGTTTATTAAAGCATTAAAAATTGCAATTTTTGGTGCCTTCACCAAAATATTAATTTAAAGATTTTCGAATATGATTCAATCCCTTTAGAAAATTTTTTTGACTACGTTCCTGCTTGTCACCAATGTTAAAAACGAGTTTTAAGTATATTTCTTAATCCTAGGGTTTACATGATTCGATTAAAACAGTTACCGGAACATCCAAAATATTTGTGAAGTTAAAAGATTTGAAGTTGCTTATTCCAAATAAATTTCTTAATAACATATTTAATGGTCTCTGCAATTCGTCCCAAATTCGAAGAAATTGCGAATGGTATTTGTCAATAAACACACAGTTATCCTTTAATTTGATTAAATCAAAACAGAATTACCAAAAAATCTACCAATTCCCAAATAAAAGTATATTTTTTATTCTGTACAGGAACTTGGCTTGATATTGCTGAACTTTCAGGCTCACGATTGCTCTCATACATGAATGAACTAGGCTTTACTAAAATTTTATTTAATAATTTTTTTGAAGTTATTTTTGGCTTTTGTGATACCGTAAATGCTGAAAAAATGTCCCTCTCTCAAATAATTGTCCCTTACAGCCGGCGATCAAAAAATAATTACCCCTCCTAAGAATATTTATAATTAGCCTTTTTGAAAAAAAAGCTCAAATAATTACCCCCTTCCTTATAATTACACCCTCCAGCGAGAGGGTGAAACAATAATTACCCTGGCTAATTATTTTAGCAAATACGGTAAGTCCTATAGTCTGGTATTGTAAGGGTGTTAAATCTGGGTGAGTAGAGCTTAATTTCTCATAGATTTCACGTAAGCGTTTTCTAATCAAGTAACTTCTTACCACATGAACATATATCCTGAAGTAATTTTTTTGAGATATTCTTCTTTTTAATTTTATTCCCTTCTTCAATTAACTTCTTTCCTTCTTGTACAAGCTTATTACCCTTAGCAATAATATTATCCCCTTCTCTATCTTCTGAAGATTCTTCCAAATTTCTAGCCAAGGCTTTAATTAACGAAAAATATTCAGACTGACGGTGTGATACCTATATTTGAAAAAATATTTTTTTTCAGAAATTTCTGGATTTTTTCCATAAAAATTAAAAAAGTATTCACCTCATTAGGATTATTTTTATCCATTTTAATCAATTTTTAAAAAATTCAAATATTGTAATTTAAAAATTAGTTAAGTTTGGCAAAAGGGGAAGATATGAAAAAAACTTATGTACATATAAGGAACCTTTAATATGTATTAATAAAAAATGTTCGCATTTATGTAAATAAAAAGAGATATGAATAATCAATCGAGTGCCTAACTTAATTTTTAAAATTTAAACGCATTTTTCGCGGTTGTGAACATTTAAGTCCAGATTAGAGATCGGAATTTTGAAAAAACCGGGTCCGGGAAACGGGTTCTGAAGGTTGACGAACCCGGACCGGAAAAAACAGGGAATTCCCGTTCCCGGTTTCATCCCGGTCAGAAATGACCGGGTCCCGGCCGGGAAACTGGGAACTTCTTAATTAGTTATAATGGGGCTGTATTTTTCCACATGGGGCTGTATTTTTCAACTATCCTTTTATACTTATTCTAAATAACCTCTATTAAAGTAAGTAAATGGCATTCGGAGGCTATAGTGCATAAGGATTACGTGGGATATCGGTGGATCTTGTGTGATACCAAGATTCAGAAGAGGTTAATTAAAATTTAAAAATGTTTTAATCAATATTAAATGTTAAATAATAAACTATTGGGCATTATCTGCATAGACTGGATAGACCCTTAAACTTGCTTCTTGCTTCAGACACCCCCATGGTATTAAAAAAATTGAGCTTAAAGTTTTTACTCTGTTATCCCTTAAGAAAGAGATAAAAATAAAAGATGTCATTTTTTCATTGGACTCATAAACTAGACACGATTCTAAAACCTTCTACCTTGGCTTTTGCAAAATATTCGCCAACATAAAAGTATATAATTCCCGAAGATGTCAATAAATTTGTAGCGCATTCATACCAATATCTCGTAATAATTTGTCGTCCTCTTGATGTTTTATTTAAAAATAATTCTATTTGACCAAAACATGTAGTAGGATAATTACTGTAATACCAAAACTTAACTTTTACTTAGCAATATAGCGAAGTGTTTTTAACAGAATGGACCTTTTCCCCTTTTTGGGTGAATTTTTTTAGTTTTGATTATTCGATCCGCTCACCGAGTTGACGAGTCATAGAATTGACTATGGACCGAAATACAGAACTCCGAATCTAACAGAAGCATACTCTATGAGATAAGCACGCCTATAAGTGAAATTAAAACTAGGAGCACATGTGGATCGTGTGAATCTTTACGGTCCGGTCCGATAACATTGGACAGACTCGAAAACGGCAACACTAATTAAAAGGAATATCAAATGAACCCAATAAGCAAGATTTCTTGCATTTTCAGTGCTGAAGGCGAATTTTGTGAATTTTGGAAGTCCAAGACCTTTGATCAACTCTTTCAACAAAATAGTCATGTCGATTTCGAACAATTTCTCGGTTCGAGTTTCGGGTCTAAAAATAGCGCGGGGTATTAGTGGCGGGTCTGTATTTCACATTTTGGGGTCTGTATTTCGGTCCATAGTTAAGAACCAGGGCTGATTTTGTTGTTATTCGATACAGCTTGACGAGTTTTATAATCTTTTGATTATATGTAGATCTGAATCCACCGATTCTGAATGGGTCCCAGACTAAACTTTTTAACTTTTTGGCCGGTGAACAACCTAGGTTTGGTACTTATTTGCCCCCCCCCCAGCTAAATACTTTGTTTTAATTTTACCCCAATTGTAATCCGTGAGTAAAAAAATTACTAGCTTCCCTAAATATATTAATAAGTAGTTCATGAGGTAGAGTTTTTCTTTTATTTATTGATGTTTTTGTTTTACAATTTTGCTGTTTTTCTTCTTTCATTTGGAATTGTTAATTTTTTGGGGAAATTTCAGGGTTAATAGTTAATAATTTAAATATAATTTAAAATTTACATTAATTGGCTTAAATCAGGGCTTCGATCTCTAATTTTTAAAAATCCGCAATTTTGATCGCATTTGATATGAAAAATCCGCAAAAATTATCAATCACAAAAATTGAATAAAATCACTTTCTGCGTTATAGTTTTTGACTCCAACAATTGAATTGAGCAATTTTTTCACTATTATTGACTATTGTATTAAAATCCGAACAATTAAATGAAAAATTACAGTTGAATTTAGCCGATGCTTTCACCGTCCTGAATTGTTTATTCGAAAAATAGTCTTTTTTTGCGCCGCAAGCGAAAATTCTGCTGATTTTAGAAGGCCATGAAGACAAAAAATGGCATTCTATCTTAAAACTACAAGAAAATACAAAAAATCCTCATAATCTTCAAAAAACCAATAAAATCCGCAAATCCGCATTTTAAATATAATCCTCATCTACCTATCAAAAAACCACAAAATGAGGAAAAATCCGCAGAAATCGTAGCCCTGGCTTAAATACATTATACATGTACATACTATGTCTGGAATTTAACTAATGTAAAGGGTTTTATGTGAGTAATATGAAGAGAACCCTTCCTTTTTACTGCACACTTTATGCACAAAAATCAATACATTTTACTCAAACAATTATGTGCCAGTTTCGCCTTCCGACGTGGTAAAAATCAAAAAAAAATTTTGTAGATTTACAATCACCATCTCATTTCCGCTATTGTCGTTCTTGCTCACGATCAGGTTCTCGTTCACAAAATTCGCCAAATGATTCTCAACAAATTTTTATTTTCCGTTAAGAGACAGGGTTTTTTAATTCAAAATAATAAATTTATTATCGCAAATCTTATTATTGCAGTTATTCTAAACATAATTTAAAATAAAAAAAAGTTTTCACAAAATTACATATGTATTTGTTAAATTTATTATATTTAATTTTATTTTTCGTTTTCAATTTTATATTTATCAATAACTGTTGAGGGAAGTGATCAATAAATTTAAAATATATGTAGAGAACGTTAAAACAAACAATAAAATAAGTAAAAATGTAAAATCACATTTAATAACCTTACTAATAATTTGTTTGTTTAAATTTACCTAAATATTTATTTTTCAACAAAATTAAACAAGAAAAGATTAAATTATTCTTTAATTTACTTAAATATTTATTTAATTATTTATAATTATTTTTTTTAATTGCATAAAAATTTATTAAAATTCCCTTAAAATAATTTCAAAAATAAATATTAAATTTATTATTTAATTTTTAAATTTTATTTAAATGGGTATTGAAAAACGTGAGAATAATGTTCGAGATTTGATTGCTTTTTGGTTTGTCATTTTATTTGGGTACACCCCATTATACCGCAGCCCAATATACCGCCGCCCAGTATACCGCGGGCCCATTATACCGCCGCAAAAATTTTTTATTATCTTGGTGGGGGATGTAAAATAGTGACGGGGGATGTTGGTTCGTCAACGGGGGATGTTGACCTAATGACGGGAGATGTTAAATATTGACGGGGGATGTTGTTCCAATGACGGGGGATGTTGACCCAATGACGGGGGATGTTAACAAGCGACAAGGGATGTTGGTCCGAAAACGTCGGTCATTGAAACAACATTCCCCGTCACTATTTAACATCTCCCGCCAAGATAATAAAAAATTTTTGTGGCGGTATAATGGGCGGCGGTATACTGGGCTCGCGGTATACTGGGCTCGCGGTATACTGGGCGGCGGTATAATGGGCGCGGTATACTGGGCGGCGGTATATTGGACTGCGGTATATTGGCCTGCTCCCTTTTATTTTTAATTGGAAATAATAAATTCTCTCATTTAAAGGATTTTTGGTTTGGCAAATAATTTTGCCTATGTAATTATGCTTAGTGCTGCTGATGATATTATTAAAAGTCAGCACAAACATAATCCTCAACATAATAATAAAACAAATATTTCAAATAAATGCATTGTAAAATTGAAAAATTATTTAAAAATTCGAGAAATTTAAGGAAAATATAGGGAATCCAAGGTGTGAAAAATACATGTCTACCGGTGCTGTCCTTTTAGCAGATATTTTGCCTGCAATGGTTATTAAATATACAATGCCTTTCTTTATGAATCGAATACCTTTTGGGTAGTTTTTTAAATTTTATTATGAATAGTCAAACGTCTCCTCGAAATAAAAAGCCTGAATACTAGATAATTTTTGGTCTGGATATCATGGTGTGAAAGTATCTAGACAATATTCATTTATTTCGGCGGTCTTAGAAATTGCCATCCTTATTTTAACTTTACTACTCTAACGTTACTAGATAAAAATCTTAAATAATTTTTACACTGCCTATTTTCTGTTTAAGTTATTATTGTAATTCTTCAGTTAATTTATGCTACTGTTTTAAATTAACAATAAGATCGGACAGGGAGCGTCCTTCGAAAATTGGCATTAATATCTTGATTCAATCTCTAGTTTTAATTATTTAAAGTTTTCGACATTTATTGGTTTGCTTACTTCAAGCTTCAAGTTATTTAGTTGTTGCCTTTTCCCCAAATATTCAAATATCCTTGTTTGGCGTTGTCTTGGCAGCATTGGGATCTGGATTGGGAGAAATATGTTATTTGGCATTAAGCTCTCATTATTCCAAGTTTCGAAATCTTTTAATCCTCTTAATTTAAATTTTAGATCAACAATAGCTTCTTGGTCCTCCGGCACGGGAGGTGCGGGAATATCCGGAGCTTTAGCATATGCAATTTTAACTAACCCTAAAGATCAATATAAAATTTTTAATACAACTATAAATGAAGTAGATTCTATACGTGATCTAGGCATCATAATAGATAATAAACTCAAATTTCAAGAACATGTACAAAAAATTATTCGGGCAGCTTATATAAAAATGAATTTTGTGTTTAAAATAATTAAATCAAAATCTATAAAAACATGGCTTACTATCTATAAAAGTTATATAAGACCCTTGCTTGAATACTCTCCTGAAACATGGAATCCACAGCTAAAATCTGATATTATCAAACTCGAAAAATGCCAAAAATTCTTTACAAAAATCTTACTTCGAAAATGTTCACTACCCTATATACCATATTTACAAAGATTGGAATTTCTTAATCTTCCTACTCTGGAAAATCGTCGTAAGACTTATGATTTAGTATTAGCTCATAAAATCCTACACGGGTATACACATCTTAAATCAGATGATCTTTTTAAAGTATCAAATAGAAAAAACTGTTATTTGTTATCTAAAAATCAAACATCAAAATCTTCCAATTCATTTGTTAATAGGGTAACCAAGATGTGGAATGTTTTAAATGATGAACTCAGAACTACAAAAATAACACTTAGTTTTAAAAATAAAATAAAAGCAATACTCATTCAGTAAATCTACAATTTTGAAAAAATATTCTAAATTCTAATTTCACTTACCTATTTGGAAAAAAGATTCTAAATTCCAGTTTCACTTTCCTATTAACAAATTAAATCCAAAAAATCTTAGATCTAGAAAATTTTCCAATTTCATCACAAATAGCATCATTCAGAATTGACAGCTATTTCAAGCTCAAAGCCTCTAAATTCTTACAATTTTAAAAAAATCGTAGTAAAATTTCAAAATTTTTCATGTTATATGTCTAAGATTCAAATGTTTATTTTAATGTTAATTTCTTAGGAAGAAATAAAATGTTATCAACTTTATAAGAAATAAATAAAAAATATTTACTTTATATAAAAAATCCTCTGTTAAACGTAATTTTTCCATTTTTCAATGATCAAGTAAAGAATGTAAAGATAATTTATCAAATAGTCTTTTACTTAAATTCATAAATTTCCAAAAATTGAGGGTTTTTTACTAATTGACTATGAACTAAACATATTCTCAGAATTCTAACCAAATCATGTTTACTTAAATGCTTAGAAATTGTAAAAGCAAAAAGTTAGGCAATTTGTTAAAATAATCATAAAAACATTTTTAATGTTTTTAAATAATCACCTATTTTCTAGTATATAGATTTTATTTTTTTTCTATATAGTAGCTATATATTGTTATTTTTCTTTCCTTTTTAAGTAAACATTTAAATTATAATTTTGAATTATGTTTGGCATTCTGTTCAAAAAAATTAATGTAAATGACAATTTATACAAGCATCTCTTACTCTTTCGCATTCCCACTATTTCTTCTTTTTGATGACTCATAAAATTAAATTAAAAAAAAAATTTTTTTTGTTTCTTCTCTCCTAATTTTTATTAAAATTTATCTTTTTTTTTTGTTTAAAAAGCATTTTTTTTTCTTTTAAGGAAATTTTAAAAAGATATTTAATTGGGTAATATTTTTTTTGTTGACTAAACAATGTCTAAGCGCAATTCTTCTGAATTCTCTCCATTAAATTTTGCAGCAAATATGACAAACAACGAAAAACGCAGCAAAATTGTTGAACAAATTAATTCTTTAAATTTTTGACAAAATTTGAACTATAATTAATCATCCTAGTTAATTAAAATGGTCGGTATAGAGTATATTTATTTAAATAATAAATCGATTATATATAAATTTTTTGTTTTTATTTAATTTATTATGACTTTAATTGTTTTTATGCTGTTTTTTATTTTGATTATTTTTATTGTGCTTCACTACGACATTGTTGTCGGATTAAGTGGCACGCCCTTTCGATGACATTTTTTTTATGTTAATAAATAAATAAATAAATAAAATAATTTTATTTTTCGTTTTCAATTTTATATTTATCAATAACTGTTGAGGGAAGTGATCAATAAATTTAAAATATATGTAGAGAACGTTAAAACAAACAATAAAATAAGTAAAAATGTAAAATCACATTTAATAACCTTACTAATAATTTGTTTGTTTAAATTTACCTAAATATTTATTTTTCAACAAAATTAAACAAGAAAAGATTAAATTATTCTTTAATTTACTTAAATATTTATTTAATTATTTATAATTATTTTTTTTAATTGCATAAAAATTTATTAAAATTCCCTTAAAATAATTTCAAAAATAAATATTAAATTTATTATTTAATTTTTAAATTTTATTTAAATGGGTATTGAAAAACGTGAGAATAATGTTCGAGATTTGATTGCTTTTTGGTTTGTCATTTTATTTGGGTACACCCCATTATACCGCAGCCCAATATACCGCCGCCCAGTATACCGCGGGCCCATTATACCGCCGCAAAAATTTTTTATTATCTTGGTGGGGGATGTAAAATAGTGACGGGGGATGTTGGTTCGTCAACGGGGGATGTTGACCTAATGACGGGAGATGTTAAATATTGACGGGGGATGTTGTTCCAAAGACGGGGGATGTTGACCCAATGACGGGGGATGTTAACAAGCGACAAGGGATGTTGGTCCGAAAACGTCGGTCATTGAAACAACATTCCCCGTCACTATTTAACATCTCCCGCCAAGATAATAAAAAATTTTTGTGGCGGTATAATGGGCGGCGGTATACTGGGCTCGCGGTATACTGGGCTCGCGGTATACTGGGCGGCGGTATAATGGGCGCGGTATACTGGGCGGCGGTATATTGGACTGCGGTATATTGGCCTGCTCCCTTTTATTTTTAATTGGAAATAATAAATTCTCTCATTTAAAGGATTTTTGGTTTGGCAAATAATTTTGCCTATGTAATTATGCTTAGTGCTGCTGATGATATTATTAAAAGTCAGCACAAACATAATCCTCAACATAATAATAAAACAAATATTTCAAATAAATGCATTGTAAAATTGAAAAATTATTTAAAAATTCGAGAAATTTAAGGAAAATATAGGGAATCCAAGGTGTGAAAAATACATGTCTACCGGTGCTGTCCATTTAGCAGATATTTTGCCTGCAATGGTTATTAAATATACAATGCCTTTCTTTATGAATCGAATACCTTTTGGGTAGTTTTTTAAATTTTATTATGAATAGTCAAACGTCTCCTCGAAATAAAAAGCCTGAATACTAGATAATTTTTGGTCTGGATATCATGGTGTGAAAGTATCTAGACAATATTCATTTATTTCGGCGGTCTTAGAAATTGCCATCCTTATTTTAACTTTACTACTCTAACGTTACTAGATAAAAATCTTAAATAATTTTTACACTGCCTATTTTCTGTTTAAGTTATTATTGTAATTCTTCAGTTAATTTATGCTACTGTTTTAAATTAACAATAAGATCGGACAGGGAGCGTCCTTCGAAAATTGGCATTAATATCTTGATTCAATCTCTAGTTTTAATTATTTAAAGTTTTCGACATTTATTGGTTTGCTTACTTCAAGCTTCAAGTTATTTAGTTGTTGCCTTTTCCCCAAATATTCAAATATCCTTGTTTGGCGTTGTCTTGGCAGCATTGGGATCTGGATTGGGAGAAATATGTTATTTGGCATTAAGCTCTCATTATTCCAAGTTTCGAAATCTTTTAATCCTCTTAATTTAAATTTTAGATCAACAATAGCTTCTTGGTCCTCCGGCACGGGAGGTGCGGGAATATCCGGAGCTTTAGCATATGCAATTTTAACTGAACCAAAATTTTTTGATATGTCCCCAAGAAATGCTTTATTAGTTATGCTTGTCGTTCCAATAATTTTTGCAATAACGTAAAAATAAAATTTTTTGAGAAAATAATTAAATAATTCATTAGTTATTGGTCATTATTAACCCCTGTGTTGAGTGTTCACAGAATTAATTTATTTAAAATTTCAACGTGGATTGTTCCTGTCCAAAATATGAAAGAAAAAGTAAATCAAAAAATTGGAGAAGAAGAATATGATGGTAAAGCTTATACACACAATTTTACTTTTAGAGATAAATTAAAAATAATTTATGTAAGATTTAATATTTTAGAATATATGTAAATATATTTTTTATTTTAGCCATTGCTGAAATATATGATTCCTCTCAGTTTTGTATATTTTGCTGAATATTTAATTAATTCGGGATTGGTAAATATGCATTAAATAGACTTGGGCGATATCGGGATCCCTACCAGTAGGTATATACCGGTCTCTTTTAATCCCGATATAGTTCTTTTGATACCGAGGCCAAGATCGGGAGATCTGTATCATCATTCTAAAAATACCAATGCCCATTTTAAATCGGAATCCCGATACCGCCAACTCTAGTATTTTAAAACAAAACTAAAAATCGGTATGGGTTAGCTTCACTTACAAAATTTCCTTTAAATGAATAAAATTTTGGAAGAAAAAGTAAAAAAAATTCGGTATTTTAGAAATATAACAAATTTAATAATAGTTGCGGTGAGATTTTTTAAAAATAAGCACTCAAATCTTAAAATTTCGATATTATTTCTAACTATATCTTAAAGCTTATATTTCTGTTAACATGATTTTCTGTAAATTTCTTAAAATTTCAATACGATTAAAAATCTTTTAAAATAGCATCAATTAATGCATTTTGACTGTTCACATGGATTTGGTTTATCATTGGAAAGCCAATTTCGTTGGTATATGGCATTATATCAATCAGGCGTTTTCTTTTCTAGAACCTCTGTAGCTTTTTTAAAATTACCTTCATCAGCATTATATTTTCTTCCTTTTTTACAGGCTTGTAGAAAAAATTTTAAAATTAAAAAAAATTTTTTAGTGTTTAAATTTAGCAATATTTTTAATTCAGTCAATTAACCAATTTATTCCTCATATTGGAATAATTTTTATTTTAACATTTATTGAAGGAATTTTTGGGGGCGCTTCATATGCTAATACTTTTGATAGAATACATAAAGAAGTGAGCAAATTTTTAAAAAATTTTATTTAATTGTTTTTTAAAGGCTTCCTCTCAAACTCGAGAATTTAGTCTTTCTATAGCTTCAACTGGAGATTCTATTGGAATTAGTTTAGCTGGGTTTGGTTCAATTATAGTTCACAATTATATTTGTAAATTATATCCAATTATTTATCCTTAATTAATTTTAATTGTTGTAATTCTTTTGTATTCAGATAAAAATTGAAAAAAATTGATTTATTAGTTCAATAATTTTTTTATCTTTGTGGGTATTGTAGGTTCATGTTAAGTCTATATCTCCTATGATAATTTCTACCCCAAGAAGATAGGAGGGTAATTCAAAATTGTATCTACTTATCTCTATTAGATTGAAAGAGAATATACACATTTATAGAATTATAGTTATCAAAAATATTCCATATTAAATCTTTCATATGAACAAATCGGGTAAATACGAGTGCCGGAAAATTGGGCTCTGGAAAATTGGGTTCCAAGATTTTTCGGAAAATTGGGCTCCAAATATCAAAAATGGAAAATTGGGTTCTAAAATTTTAGGCGCGGGGAATTGTGGGCGTCGGAGTGAATTTTTGGATTTCATCGAAAATGACACAAAATTCTCTGGAATAACTATTTTTGTACTGATACTTAGTGGGTAGGTCGGCATTTCAAAGCTGAACATCAGTAAAAAGGAGTAGAGTTTATGTCACTGTTGTAGAACCCAGCGACCGTTGACTCCCGCAGGGCGCGTGCCGCAAAAACCCGAGCGAAGCGTGGGTTTTTGACAAGCGCCTTGCCGACGCCCATAGGTTTACGTTGTTTGATTTTGTTTTTGATCCCAAATTTCCGCTGGAGCCCAATTTTCCGAAAAATCTGAGAGCCCAATTTTGCAGAGCTCAATTTTCCGGACACCGGTAAATACATATTACTTTTAACTCTTAACTAATGATTAGAAATACGACTGGCAATAATTTAATGAAAATACGGTTAAAAATGTCAATAATTAAAATTTGGAAATAATTAAACATTTAGGTACTTTATAGGAATTTAAAAATATTTTTATAAATTAAATTTTAAACCTGAAAATTCAAAACATTCGAAATTTTTGATGTGTAAATTTAAATTTCTCAATTAACACTAAGAATCTTCATATTCTTAAATGTCTTCCAAAACATGAAACGATGTGAAAATTTATCGAAATGAGGAATATAAAAAAATACAAGTTAATGACAATTTTGTAAAAGTTGACAGAAATATTTACAAAATTTTACAATAATTCGAAAAATAATTAGACCGTGTTTAAACGTTTCTTCTCGACACGAGAATTTTTCTTAGAACGAGTTTTTTCGATACCGTTCTTTGACGAATTCCATTTCTTCAATTAAGGTTTATCGTTGCATATTATCGAAGATTTTTTAATTCCGATATTGAAGATTTTTCCTTCTTTAAATTTTTTATACTCGTAGTTAAAAACTTACATTTTCCATTCATGAAATTTAGGATATTTTTAAAGGTAGGACGGTCCTCTGGTTTTAATTGGATACATGCCTAAAATTTTTTTATTTTTTATCAAACATTTTTAAAAATTTTCTTTCAATTTAACGTTATATTTAGAAGTTTCTTTCTTGATTTTATAAAAATTTTTACCTTAATAACACGATGTAAAATTGTGTTATATTCACCGTTATCTCGATATTCTTCTAATTCTTTATCAGGGTTTTTAATATGTGAAGGAATAAAATTGCCCTTTAAATAATAATGAAAAAATTGAAAACACATTACACCAAATGACCAATCATCCACTTTTTGGGTTATCTGAAATGTTATTCAATTTAGTTTTGATAAGGGAAACAAAGAATAAATTAATGTTAAAAAATTTAATTAATATATCATTTGTGGGTAATTTTCTCTTCTCCCCTTTATTTGTTTGAAATAGGTTAGTTTTTTGAATTTTTTATGTAAATAGTTTTATAAAAGTTTGGCATGTAAATAGTTTTCCTTTCAGTGGACCACATTAGACGTAGAAATCTATTCAATCTGTTTCGATTACGTAGGTTCAATGTAATGATAAGCTTAACCAAATCCGGCACCGCAATGCTGAATAAAAACGAGGATTTAAATAGGGGTAATATGGGCTCGAACCTTCAAGTTAATAATATTGCCAGTATAAATTTTCAATACAAATTTTAAATCTTTATAATAATTTTTTAATTTAAATAAAACAAAGCTTTCCTTGTTTGCATCATTACCACGAATTTCTGGAGCTTTATACAATGGATGTGCAGAACGAACTGGGGCTTTTTCTATGTTAGATTTTAACACAGAAACATTAAAATCTATAAGTTTACTGTAAATCACGTCCTCCCCGTTCTTCAGCTCCTTATCCAAAACAAAATTTTCTCCTTTAATATCAAGATGAATTGCATCTGAATTTAATAAATAAATAATTATTTTTTTAAATAATTGGGAATTATATGTAATTCCTACGTTTGTGGAATTCTGCAAGAGCTATAGCAGCGCCTTTAACAAGTTTCAAAACAATATTCTCAAAATTATCCCATGTTTTATAGGATTTTTTTCTTTGGAGATTTCGAATGTAATTATACAAATGATCTCCGCCAAGTTCCAAAGCTATATGCATTTTACCATTAAATTCTTGACTTAAAGTTAAAAAATTATTTTTAGAAGGGGATGTGATAAAATCTGAAAGCTAGTTAAATCATATCTAATATTGAGGTTTATTTCAAAAGAAACTATTGAATATCCCCTATCATTGATTTCAAATGCTCCTCTTCTCTTTGAAAAATCAAATTTTAGAAACGTATACTAGATTGAGGTGCGCATCTAATCCCGGTATAATTAGAAACCCCCCATCTGAATTTGTCTATTATATTTTGAAAATTATGGGTCAACATCTTCATATATTATTTCAAATTTTTAATGAATCTGGGGTAAAATTAAAAATTTGTCAATTAAAAAAATCGCACATTCCACTAATAGGCATTTAATTTAAATTTATTTTTAAAAATTGTTGATTATTAAAATAATGTAAATTTAATATTTTGTCAATTTCATCAAACATAGTATGAAAATTTATGAAATAAAATACGAAACTTACTATCCATACATCTCTATAACATGATTCATTTTTGGATTTAGTTTACTAAAATGTTCAAGTAAAGCAACTTCTCTCTCCCATCCATGTTGGTCGTAGACTTTTAATGCTACACATTTATTCTCAGATTTCCAAAATGAATGATAAACCTTTAAAAAATTTTTTTAAACAATTACTAATTTAATAATTAGTAAAATTCATTTATTTTATTCAAATAAATACTTACATATCCAAATGCACCACCACCAATTCTATTCATGTTTTCATAATAAAAAGTATTATGTTTTGGATGTTCCAATACAATTTCTCTGTCTTCATGAAACTTTTTATTATGTGGACAGAGAAAATATTTCCTTGCATTTTTTATGGTTTCGAAACTGTCTTCGAGGGTTACTAAATAAAATTTTAATATTTAGGGTTTTTAATTAAAAGTATTATAGTCAGAGAATGATGACCTAATACGGATTTCAATGACGGATATCAAGGATCTCAATGACGTAATTAAATTTGTTATTTTAACAAAGACCAGGAAACCCCACAGATTGGAGACAACATTATTCAAAGCTACTTAAAATATCAGATATTTCTCTTAAAAATTTTTTAATCAAAGAAGGTAATAAAAATAAAAATTTAATAAAAATAAAAAATTTATTAAATTTACTCTTGGATTTGAAACAGCCAGAAAAAATGCTTGCAGATACCGATGCTCCTTAAATAAATTAAAAAAGAATCTAATAAAATTTGTTTTTAGATTAAAATAAATAAATTTTATATTTATTTGAAATTTTTTTAGAAATTTATGAAAAAAAAGATTAGATGAGGTAAACGTTGAAAAATTTTGGCTTTGTCCAAAAGCCAAAATTCCCTAGACTTCTGTCACGTAAAACACCAAAAATTTCTCTTAAAGAACTAAAAGCGAGCGCTAAATTTCTTTAATTAGTCACTGATTTCAGCTGATAATATATGGAAGCCCGTATTTTTAAGAATGATTAATTTACCTTGAAAATATATAATAAACACAAAAAATGGTAATTGTTGAAATAATAGATGAAATAGTTTCATCTAAAATTTAGTTAGAATTTAAATTTTACTTAATGTTAGAGTAAAAATACCCAACAGATATTATCAGATATGATATAATTTAAAAAAAGTTTAAAAATTAGTTAACAAAATTTTGTTTAATAAATATTCAAACAGGTGGAGATAGAAAAAAAGGACGAGATTATTCAAAAATATAGATTTATTAAATAAGTTTGCTAATAAAACCCCTTTCATCAAAGGAAAGATTCTCTCCAAATACAGCTGGAGATCTATGTATTATATTTTTATTGAAGTTACTATTTTTTTGAAGTTACTCTCCTTTATATTTTTTAAATCTTTTAAAACTCGTTGAGGATATATTATTCAAAAATATAGATATATTAAATTATTTAATTTAAATGAATGTACATATATAAAGAATTAACTGCCTATAAAAAATTTTTTTTAATTCATAAGACATGTCCTGTGTAAGGCATGTCATATGTTATGTCATGTTAATAAGGCTTTGAGGAAAAAATCTCAATTGTTAAAAATAGACAAGTTAGAGAAAAAAATTAAATTCAAACAATTAAAATCTATATTCTAGACTGTCTATAACAGTAGAAAAATTTTTTTTTGGCTAGACGTATGAAAGGGCTAAATAATTGAGAGGATTTCTTTTTAATTTTTTTGAGGAAGACGAAACAATTTAAGAAAAGTTTAGGGATTTTTAAAGTTTATTTGTTAAAACCAAAGATTCCCAAAAACGGAAACTGAAGGAATTGAATATTGCCATAATTAAATATATTAGGTTGCCGACACAGGTTCAAATGGAAAAAATTTAATATAAAGGCTTTAAATGATTTTCAAGATAATTTTTATTAATTAAAAATAAGCAGCAAATATATTAAAAAAGCAACATTATTATCAAATAAAATTTATGGGTATGAATTTAAATAACGGCTGCAAATATAGTTGTGTATAAAAATTGAAGCAAATCCAGCCAAACAAATACCAGTAGTGTCGCTTGTTGCAACAACTGCCATATTAAACTCTCGAGCTTTCAATTCAGACTAAAAAGATATTATTAAATTGAATCTTCTTTTCTAATCTGTTTATAATTTTTAGGTTTGGGAAAAATATGCACGCAAAATATTCACTGGAAAAGCATAAAATATTCACTAAAATATCCAAAATTTCTCAAAAAGTTACGAAATATGCAACAAAATTGATGAAATCTAACCAAAAAATGTTGTTTTTTGCCAAAAAATAATTTTCAAACGCTAAATTTCTTACAAAATGTTAAAATATTCTCAAATTTTGGTAAAATTATGCAAAATGTTCTAAAAGTACAAAAATATGAATTAGGAAACGGTCTTAAATTGCTCAGAACTACGCAAAAACACCATTTTCTCCTAATATGGTACATTCTTACCTATATCTATTTTTCCTTTATAATTAATTTTATCTTTAATATAAAATTTAAGATATTGTAAATATTCTAATTTACTAAGTTAACAAAAATTACTCCTTAATGATAATACTTGGAATATTATAATGAAAGTTTACTTTATAAAGTAGTAATTTATAAATTTAGATAGATCCCCTCTTATCGAATTTTTAATGTTAATTTTTCAACTATAAAAACCTTTTTGTGTATTCTGTCTAATGTACCCCCATAAGAGATACCGCTAATGCCACCCTGAATAAAAGCCAAAACAAAGACAATGGAAATATGAGGTATAAAGAAATGTAGGGATTGAAAGTAAAGAATTGCTGTAATTAAACACTGAAAATTAAAAAGAAGAATATAATTTTTTAATTTATTTAGAAAAATCAAATTGAGACAATCTTAGTTAAAAAAAGTTTAAAATTACCTGAATAAAAGGAAGTGAACAAAGAACAAAAGAAGGTACATTAATTAATACAATGACTGAACGTACACAAAACACACCAAACATATATAATGTAAAATACCAACGAAATTGACTTTCAAGTGATAAATCAAAACTGTGATCACAGTCAAAATGAATTAATTGAAACTACAAAATAAATAAAAAAAACCAAATAAAAGTATTCTGGGAAATCCCCAGATAAAAGTATCCCATATCCGAAAAGATATCTGAAACGAACATTTCGGATGTCTTATACGCCCATTCTAGTATGACATAAACATGTAAATGGGTATTAGGATCTAAGCATAACAACCAACATCAAAAATTTTGTCACAAAAAAACATGTTCCCAAAGTCCCCAGTTTAATGTGATTAATTTTTAATTATTCAAAATTTTTCGGTTTTTGGGTTTAAAAAAATAACAAGTAATTTTAATCTCTCGATTTTTTAAATAAAATAGCTTAAATTGATTTAATAATAAAAAACAAACCAATCCAGAGTTTGATATATATTCAGCTAAATATACAATAGTAAGTGGAAGCATGTACTGCTGGAGTGGCTGTTAAAATAAATAAATATTAATGATTTTATTACTAATATTGTTATAAATATATTTTATAATAATAATTTAAAAATAATTCTTTTAATTAACAATTCATTTTTAGATAATTTAAATTTACAACCAAAATCATTTTTAGCTTTGAGGCAAGAGAGAATTCATGCGTGAAGGCTTGCTCATTTGTTTTAATCAAATAAGATTCCTGAAAATTATTATAGTAAATTAAATTATTATAGTAAAAAATACTCTTCGAAGCTTTTATTTACTTCAATAATTACTTTACTTCTGATTAGAGTAGGTGAATAACAACTACTCTAATCCCAATGATAGCACCTACTCTAATTTTCTCAACAACTGGGATTACTGATAACGGGGATTAATGATGATGGCATGGAGGTTGGCAATTATTGGAGGATTAAGGAAAATCAAATCAATTGATATCACTCGAAAATGCGCGAGGCCTCGGTCTACTCTACTTCTGATAATGAATCTGGTTCTACTTATTAGTTCCATTAATTGTTGAAATATAGGTATTATTTACTGATACAATTACTTACAGCTCATATGGGGATACTATAAAGAAAAAACGACCTTATTTTTCTTAACCTACCTTATTGTTTTGGAGATTATTAATATTTTTATTTTTTTCTCCTCCATTAGTTGAAACTTTGATAATGTTGGGTAAGGGCTCGGGCACGACATTAATTTTAATTTTTTTCGAAGTTTTCTGTGCTGGGACAATCCATGTTGAAGGTTTTAATAATTCCAATCTATGAACAGTTGGTGCAGGCGAGAGTACAAACCAATAACTTTAAAAAATAAAATGATTAAGTATTTGTATCTAAAAGATTCCCATATTTTAAATAAATGAAAATAGTAACTATTGAAGGGTCAAGTATACTGTTCAAAAATCTTGGATATAGAAACTAGATTATTACACAAAGAACTACCTTAAAGCAAACATCATTGGCACAATAAGCATCACAAGAGTAACAGTCCTTGTAGACAGGTTAAAGAATTTAGGTTCTGATAGAACACTATATGCTAGTGATGGTATTATACTAGAAGCCCCAGTACCCGCCGTCCAAGCAGATAGAGTTGATCTAAGGTTATTAACAGTTTTTTTAATTCTAAAAATATAACTTTGAATAATGTGAAGTAAGAGCAGGTAAACATATCTGACCAATTCCGAGAGAAATTGAGTCAAAAACTACACCTAAAAGGGACATTTGTATACTTGTTGAGAAGGCAACAAGTATATAGGATGTTGAATGAGTAAAGCAAACCAAAAAGATGCGAAATCTTAAAATATAGACTTATAGTTTATTAAAAATAATGTGAAAAAGGTTAATTGTGAATATATAATTTGGGAAATAAATCGGTTATTTGAGGTAATCAAATTATCCTATTCTTCTTCAGGAAAATTATCTGTAGTTTTACACCGATCCTTATTTGAAGCTTTTTCCAGAGCATACCAGCCTTTACGATAATAGAAAATTTTTTAAAGCCTATAATCCTTTTTGGAACCTTTAAACATCAATTTTTTCGAATAACGTTATATGTTTTTTTGTTCAAGGATTTTAAAAATAATTTAAAAAATTAAAATTTAATTTAAAAATGACCCAAAAGGGATTCTATTCATAAAAAACGGAAATGCGTATTTAACTACAAAAGCAGGCAAAGCAGTAGCTAATAAAATTGTTCCAGTTGACATTAGTTTATCACAACGAGGTTTTCCCAATTCTTCCTTTAAATTTTAGAAAAGAAATTAAGTACATCTTATTTAAATTTAAATACAATGCAATATCTAGAAGTATTATTTAAATTTTTGTTTCTGCTCTCCCCGCTTTGTTCGTGTATAATATCCACAGCTGCAGTAAGTATTATATTATTAACATAATTACAAGCTAGGCCAAAAATCCTTTAAATTTGTTAAAAATAATATTCACAGAGTAATGAATATTTTTTGGTTTAGTTTGAATTAAGGTTCCATCCTTTTTAGAATTTTTAAAACTCAAAATTTCCATTTTTATACATTTTTAATTAAGTTAAAGAATAATAATAAACTTTTAATTAGGTAATTTTTGATTTTACAACCAAGAAATTTTATAAAATAGTTAAAACAAAATAATGTGATGGTGCCCTTATTTCAAATTTATTTATTATAAAATTAAAAAAAATTTTGTTAACCAAAAAGCAATGAGATCCCGGTAATTATTCTTGTTTCCACCACTTTTAGAGGACATAATTAACACTTAAAATTGTAACAGATCAAACTTTGAATAAAATATTTATATAAAAATATTTGTTAATAAATTTCAAATGCTTCTCATAATTTCCTTTAAAAACATAAATTAAAAAACAATTTAATTATTTTAGAAAATAAGGAATTATTTTAAATAATAATTATTTAATTAAGAAGCTAGCTATTCCTATAAAAATAGATAATAAAAATTCCTAAAAAAATTTTTTTAGGAATTTATTTTATGAAAGAAAAATATTTATCAGTTAGTTTTGAATGTAAACATTTATTTCATTCACTACTAGTTTTTTCCCACTAAATACTAATTGTTTAATTAATTATTTGTTTTATTACTATAATGATCAAGTATAAAGATTATCGAAAAAAATTTTTTATTTATATAAATTTAAGGAATTTTGGAGTTTTTGTAGTCAATTATATACAATAAAAAATTAAAAAATGTTATCAGTTAATAAAGAAAATTTTTTAATTATTAGATAATATTTTTTTATATTTTGCAACTAGTATAATTTAAAAATTAGTAAAAGATGGAGTTAATTTGCATCATAAAAAATCATTTAATTTGCAAAAAATGATTGAGACTATAACTTAGCAAAAGATTTTATAATCTATACCCTCAAATATCCCACACCTACCAAAGTCGGATATGCAAAAGAAGAATTATGCCTTTTTGGCTATCCTAGCTTTTAATGGACCACCTATGAACACATGCACAAAAGTTTGTTTACGCAGAGGAAGAACTATAATTGATGAAGATCTTGAGAGCAAGATAATTATATACTCAATTCTTGTGTATTTTCTGTAAACCCCATTCTTGTTGTTTCAAAATCGGCCAGTCTAGTCGAAAAACATGATTCATAATCCTTATAAATCCTTTTAATTTCAAAAATTAATTAATAATTTAAGAAATTGCTTTGAAAATGTGGGAAAGTCTAAGGCGATAAAATGATAGACAATTTATTTATTTCTCAACAATTTAAAAAACATTGTAAAAGTCTAAATAAAAATTAAAAGAAAGAAACATTCTAAATTTTAAAATTTAAATCTTAAAAACTTAATATAATACACGTTAACAAACAAAAATGTCAAAATTATTTCCTCCTCTTATAATATTTATTATCTTTGTTTCAATTTATTTTGTAAATACGTCCTCAAACTCTCAATCAACAATCACTAGCCTTAACACAAAAAACAATTTTTCAAAAAACGGCAATAGTCGTAGCACAGGAACAGGAGTGAGTGGTATTGTTCAACCTGATTCAGAACGTTCCGTAAATCAGCCAGGTAGGGTAGTGATTATGTTTATTGTCGGGACGACAAAAAAACCTAAGATATTTTCTTGAGCTCAGAAAAATTGCTGTGTTTTATGGCTATTAATAAACGGATAAAAAACAGATACGATTTAAATGTATAGATTTTTTAAATTTTCTCATTATTTTAATAAATTATAGAATTATGATATTTAGATAACCACCATCAACCGCCTGTTGATAATCAACATTTAGATCATCTCTTAGGCCACGCTATAGGATATGATCCCCATTACAATAATTATAAAGTCTGAAATAGTTTTTGAAGAGAAAATGTTGAAGAATAAGTTTTCAAATATGATTTTACAAATATCTATTATTTAAAATTTCTATCAATTTTAACTTTCTATTATTCTTTTAAAACTTTTCAATTTCTAAAATTAATTTCTTTAATAAATTTTAAATAAATCTATTTATATTTATTTAATTAGGAAATATGTAGATTTGTAAAGGGAAGACAAGTCTTAGACGAGAGGCAAATATTTTACAGCTTAAATTTTAAATAATCATTGATTGTTAATTTGCAAGAAATAATTTAAAAAATTTTTTCTGCACTAAATCTCTTAAAAATCCTTTCCTTATGATTTCCGGTCCCCATGACAATGGGCATTCTCCATTCATATATCTAATTCAGTGATCAATGCTCTGTGAAAATTTTATAAATAAAAGATGAAGCAAGATAGGGAAGGACTCATTCAAAAGTGAAAAATCTAGAAAAACTTTTAGATAAAATTTTAACAACCAAAAAATGTCAAAATTCTTTTTCCCTCTTATAATGTTTGTCTTTGTTTTCATTTATTTTGTAAATACATCTTCAAACTCTCAATCAACAATCACTAGTATTAATTCAAAAAACAATTCTTCAAGAAACGGCAATAGTCGTAGCATAAGAACTGGAGTGAGTGGTGTTGTTCGACCTGATTCAACTCGTTCTGTGAATCAGCCAGGTCGGAATTTTTAGTAAAAGTATTTAGGTTATGTGTCGAGATCGGTAGAGAAATTGTTTTTAGGTTTTTAAAGACGTGCTGAATAGAGCTTCGCCGGAAGTTCCGGGATTTTTTGGTTCGATTCCGGTCCTTCAGTTCCGGGTAAACCCGAACTTTTTAGCACCCCTAAGGGTTTGATTTCTACAGCCTTCTAAAATTCTCTCAGCTTCTTAGCCCTCAAAATTTTCAAAGCTAGAAATCAGGCTTGTTAACCAGATTCTCTAATCGGAATGTGTCTTTTTTACATTGTGAAGAATCTATAAACCTAAAAGAACGAGAATCAAAGGAAAAAAACCACCATCATTATATACTAAATGATTTATAGTGAAAAATTTTTATTTAGAAATTTTTTAACAAAGTACCGGTTCCGGCCGGGTCTTGACACTTCGTCTTGTTTTTTCTTCTATTTTCTAAATTTAAAATATTCTAAAATTTTTTTACTATTTTGTAAAAATTTCCAAATTATTTGGCATGTTAAATAAAGTGAAAAAAGAAAAGTTCTTAAAAAAAGAAACGAGAAACTAAGAGCCAAAGAATTAATTTATAATTTTAGGTAATCAACATCAACCTCCTGTAGATGATCAACATTTAAATCACCTTTTAGGCCACGCTTTAGGATATGATCGTTATTACAATAATTATTGATATTGAAATTAATTTTATTGAAGAAATGCTGAAGAATTTGTTATTGAAATCCGAGTATGTATTCTGTCAACTTTTCTATTAACTAATCTATTGTGTAGTATTTTACTTTTTTTTATTCTTTTCTACAATTTTTTTCGGTCATGTTTTTAAAACTATTATTTTTGTCCCAAAAAGTTTTCTTCCTCATCATCGATAAAACAAAAATGAAACCCGTCTCTGGTAATTGTACGGATAACAACATTTGTGTGTCGTTAAGATTCCGTGAAAATATATGGAAACAATAGAAAGTTGTTTTGTCATCTACATATATCACCTTAAATCCCTATAATCTCCGACATCATACTTAACCCTTAATACATCGATATCCCAGCTACCGACATCACTCTTGATTTGTGTAAGGCAAATGGATCTAGTTGGATATCAGTGGAGTTAAGGATAACTATGAAGTTGGAAGGAAAGTTTATCTCGAGGTTACATACAAGAAAAAATAAAAATTATGTCGGTAGGGTGTGTAGTCTAAAATTAAAAAAAATAATTATTAAAAATTTATTTAAAATTAAATAGTCAATAACATAATAAATTTACTAATAATATCGCAGCAATAATTAAATATATTTATATCTCAATTTTCTTCTAAAAATTTTAGTTTTCCAAAATAAATTTCAAAGTTTTTTAAACGATTTTTTGTAAATTAAATTCTCCCAATAGGGATCAGAGAAAGGCGGTGTCGAAGCGGATATGGGGAAATCCTTGGATATTCTGATCTGATTTCCGAACCGAAATTTTTTGGATGTCCAGACTTTAATTCCGGATTCGAAAATCCTACTCAAAATAATTTCATAAATCAAAAAATAAAATATCAAAACTGCAAATAGCTAATTATTGTTTAATCTTAGTTTTATTTTAAATTGTAATTAAAAATAAAAATTTGTAAAATTCCATTATTTGATTTGTCTCTTGTTTTAAAATTTATTTTTAATTTAAAAAATAATCACTTTACTCTTAATAATTCTTATAGTAAAACAAAAAATTTTTTTAATAAATCAAAATAATTTTTATTTCTCGTTCACACTTTGTTTATTCCATATATGTAATAATAGTAGAGAATTCGGTAAATGAAAAATAAAAATAACCATTTATTTTATCCAAAAATTATTGATTTTATCCTTTTTAGGTTACTCATTTAATTTAATTTTTAAAAATTAAAAAAATTTCTTTAAAAAACTTTTAACGGAATCTTGTAATTTTATTCAAAATTTAAAAATAAAAAAAGTTAAATTTATAAAAATAAATTGTACTTCCCCAAAAATTAATAAAAAATCTATAAAGAAGTTCTAAATAAAAGTTTTATTTTCACTCTCTTTGTTTCAATTTTATTTTTTTTGTGATTTTAAAGAAAAAAATAAACTAAAAAATCCCGTTTTAAATTATTGTTTAATTAAAACTTTTATTTCAAATTTTATTGAATTTTATAAATTTTCAGTGATTTAGTAGTTAAACCTGTAAAATAAAATTGATGTTAATTTTCTTTTCTAAACTTAAACTTTTATTTTCAATTTTTTAAATGAAATTACGTGGCTTTTTAAGTTTTTTTTAAAAAGGAAATTGATTTTAAAAATAATAGTCGTGTTGGTATTTATTTATTTTCAAACAATTTTTATTTAATAATAAAAATTTTGTTTAACGTTTCTTTCTTAAAAATTTTTATTTGTTTGGTTATTTATTAATTTTATAAATTTAATTTAATAATTTTAATTTTATATTTCATAAAGAAAATTTTCTTTATTCAAGAAAATTTTAAAATGAAAGAAATTGCTGAGAAGAACAAAATGGGTTTGTTTTCTGATTTTTTAAAAATAGAATTATTAAAATTTAAATTATTGCACATCGGGTATCCTAATCCGAAAAAGGCTATATATCCGGAAATTTTCGGTTCAGATATCGGATCCGGATATTCAGAGATTTTCACCTATCCGACAACCTTGTTGTACATTGAATGCGAGATTTTGAGGGAATCTATGGTTGAAATAAGAGATTTGTTA